CTAGTTTTTGTGTGTGGGGGGGGGGGGGGAGGCACGGGGCCAGCATGCGAGGGGCTGCCGATGTTCAGGTGGTGTGGTGGGGGGGAGAGGGCGTGCCTGGTCGATGTAGATGAGGGCGAGGATGACCGTCTCCTCGGAGCAGCCGGCATACTTGAGGATTCTGCGTGCGGCAGGCGGGAGGAGGGCTGAGATGCAGAGGAGGAGGTGGTTGCGCGCTGCTGGGGAGGGGGCCAAGGGGGGGGGGGTGCCCTGGCTAGAGGAGGGGGGGTCGTCGCAGACGCGGCAAGCCCTCTCCCCGCACCGGCCTCGCTGCCGCCGCGGCACGGGCTCTCCCTCCCCACCGCCAAGCGCTGCCACCTTCCCCCCCCCCCCCCTCCCCTCCGCCAGCCCTCCCGCTAGCCAGGGACACAGCGGGGACGCGCCAAGCTTTGCCGGCCTCGGCGATGCGGGCCTGGCTTCCACCGCCTCCTCTCCCTCTCGGCAGGCAGGCCAACGGCCTTGCCTCCGCCCCCCTCTCTCTCTCACACCCGCTCGCGAGTGCGGCCAGCAGCACCGGGGCGGGGGGAGCTCTTGCTGCGCACCGATCCTCCAAGTAGTTTCGCACGGTGATGGCCGGCGGCCGCGACGAGTGGAACGGGGTCACTTGCGCGGGCACCAGTGGCAGCTGCGCGAGGGACCGTGCGGCGGGTCAGGTGGCGGGCAGGGAGGACGGAGGCACGAGTTTGTGCGGCACTGGCCATGAGTACGTGGCGAGCAGAGCGGGGAGGGGCTACGGCGAGGCGGTGCAAACCACCTGGTCGTTCCGCGCGACTAGGTCCTCCAGCAGCTTCGAGATTACTGCAGCACAGGGAGAGACGGCGGCTTTAAAAAACACGCGGATCGTGATGAGTGGTGCTCAGGATAGGACGCACCTTGTACGATCAAGTCCGGTGTGCCGGATGAGGACGCCTCGCCGTGCTCGGCCATCTCGGCGTAGGCGGACAAGCGCGTGCGCTCGAGCAGCAGCCCCCCAGCCGTACGGTACGGTGATGCGGGAGAGCTTTTAGTGCGGTTCACCGCGCGATTTCTTTTTATTTTTCCTTAGCAAGCGACAATCAGTTCACTTATGGGAAAGAAGAGAAGAAAGCACGCTCCAGTGTGAAACTCCCGAAGGAAGAGCGGTTCCGCGAGCGACCGACAAAGCCAATGGGAGCGAAGCCGCACGCTATCGCCGGCAGTAGCCTTGCGGCGAGCGCGTCCGTCGACGGCTACAACTCGGCGGACGAACACGAGGTCGCCGTCAGCGCGCCCGCTGAGACGATCGAGGCATTTGCGGCGCGGATGGCAGCGACGCGCGGCCTGCAGCTGGTGCCGATGCTGCGCGATGGCAACTGTCTCTTCCGCGCGGTGGCGGACCGCGTCTACGGCGACCATGCGATGCACGACGTTGTGCGCCAGCAGACGCTCGATCACGTTGCGGCGGAGAGCGCGCACTTTTCTCCATACGTCGCGGAGGACATCCACACGTACGTCGCTCGCAAGCGGCGCGACGGCGTGTACGGCAACCACGTCGAGCTGCAGGCGCTCTCGGAGCTCTACAACCGGCGGGTCGAGGTGCGCCGGAGCAGAAGGGAGACGCACCACCGGAGGAGAGGAGAGGGGCTGCGCCGTCGCGAGGTCCGAGGCCAGAGACTCGTCTGTCCCTCGCGAGGTGTACGCGCCCAACGGCGCACTGCACTCGAACTGCACTAGTGGAAGCACCAACACGGCCCTCGGGCTGTTTGGGGACCCGGACGCCAGCGTCCCCCGGGAGAGGGGTGTCCTGGTTGTGTCCTGGTTGTGTCTTGTCTGAGTGCCAGCGCACGCAGCTATCTTAATGGCGTGAGGTCAGCAAGAACCCTCGCGGCGTCGTGCAGTCTGTGAGGGTGTGTGCCTGCACGGATTGCACAAGTAACAAATCACTCCTGTCGGCATTCCTCCGGAATGGGGCGACAGACCACGTGTTATTCCGTAGTTGGGATGACCACAAATCGTCAGGGCACTCAAGAAGAGGCCAGCCGGCACTTCGAGCTGCGCTCGACATGGGGATGCGCACAGTCAATATATGTCAATGCGCGCCGCGCGAGCGAGTCTAAAGACTCGGTCGCGAACTTTCCGAGAAGGATGACAAGTGGGGCGGCGGCGTCGATAGATATCGACGCCGCCGTCGCCGCGCATCATGACGAGTTCGCATTCCCCATGTGACCCTCTATACCTCACCTTCGAGACAAGCCAGGGTTCAACCCAATGGACCTAGTGTGGCGTCGAGGCCCGCACTGTCTGGACATGCGGGCCGCGGCTGACAGAACGGCGGGCTAGGCATTGAGAGCCCAGGAGTTTTAATTCGCACAGAGGGCACGCGAGGTACGACCGTGCCCGGCCGTGCTATTAAAGCGACTCGGCTCTCTAACAGGCTGCAGCCCAGAGCCACACGGAGTCTACGCGCATCGCTTGTGCATAGCCTCGACCAATCTCCTGTTCACGGTGCAACCGTGAACAAAGAGCTTCTTCGAACCGTTACAAACACGACGCGAGCCGCCCAGCAGGGAGCCTGGGCGACTCGCTTTGACCTCCCCCCCGCCCCACGGTGCGCCAGCGGCGCATTTGGGATGGACACCACACGTCGTCACATCGAGCAGCTCTCTGTCAACGGAAATTTCTCAGCTCTGATGCGTCATCCGGATGGAGCAACTGGCTTTGCTTAGATTGGGAGTCCTTTTGCTATGTGCTCTACGCGGGGAACTACGCCTCTTTTAACCTCATCCTGCAGGCGATAGCCCAGCCCGCGTGCAGCGGTGGCGGCGACACTTGCAACACGAGCACGCCTCGCTTCGGCGCGCTCGATCCTTCACAACGGGCCGCCCGCAAGGACGCGTGTGCGGCCCTCTCTACTCGACCTGTGCCACGGCACGGGTCGTTCTAGTCATGCAGCCGCCCCGGCGATCGTGCTCGGGGCGTATCTCAGCACTCACCGCGCGAGACGCGTGGCGTGCCACACAAACCAGTAAGCAGCAGCCTTCGCTGCTGCGACTCGAATGCTTCAAACGCGCACCTGTGCTTGCGCACGGCGTGCTCTACACGAGCCCCCCGGCCGCGCGAGCGTACGGGCGGCTCGAATCCACCCTTCCCCCGCCCTAGCCACTGTTGGCTGGGCTGCGGGCGCCGTCCGCCTTGCGGCGGCGGCGACACTTGCAACACGAGCACACCTCGCTTCGGCGCGCTCGACCCTTCACAACGGGCCGCCCGCAAGGACGCGTGTGCGGCCCTCTCTACTCGACCTGTGCCACGGCACGGGTCGTTCTAGTCATGCAGCCGCCCCGGCGATCGTGCTCGGGGCGTATCTCAGCACTCACCGCGCGAGACGCGTGGCGTGCCACAAACCAGTAAGCAGCAGCCTTCGCTGCTGCGACTCGAATGCTTCAAACGCGCACCTGTGCTTGCGCACGGCGTGCTCTACACGAGCCCCCCGACCGCACGAGCGTGCGGGCGGCTCGAATCCACCCTTCCCCCGCCCTACCGACTGTTGGCTGGGCGGTGGGCGCCGTCCGCCTTGCGGCGGCGGCGACACTTGCAACACGAGCACACCTCGCTTCGGTGTGCTCGACCCTTCACAACGGGCTGCCCACAAGGACGCGTGTGCGGCCCTCTCTACTCGACCTGTGCCACGGCACGGGTCGTTCTAGTCATGCAGCCGCCCCGGCGATCGTGCTCGGGGCGTATCTCAGCACTCACCGCGCGAGACGCGTGGCGTGCCACAAACCAGTAAACAGCAGCCTTCGCTGCTGCGACTCGAATGCTTCAAACGCGCACCTGTGCTTGCGCACGGCGTGCTCTACACGAGCCTCCCTACCGCACGAGCGTGCGGGCGGCTCGAATTCACCCTTCCCCCGCCCTAGCCACTCTTGGCTGGGCGGCGGGCGCCGTCCGCCTTGCGGCGGCGGCGACACTTGCAACACGAGCACACCTCGCTTCGGTGTGCTCGACCCCTCACAACGGGCCGCCCGCAAGGACGCGTGTGCGGCCCTCTCTACTCGACCTGTGCCACGGCACGGGTCGTTCTAGCCATGCAGCCGCCCCGGCGATCGTGCTCGGGGCGTATCTCAGCACTCACCGCGCGAGACGCGTGGCGTGCCACAAACCAGTAAGCAGCAGCCTTCGCTGCTGCGACTCGAATGCTTCAAACGCGCACCTGTGCTTGCGCACGGCGTGCTCTACACGAGCCTCCCTACCGCACGAGCGTGCGGGCGGCTCGAATCCACCTTTCCCCCGCCCTAGCCACTGTCTGGCTGGGCTGCGGGCGCCGTCCGCCTTGCGGCGGCGGCGACACTTGCAACACGAGCACACCTCGCTTCGGTGTGCTCGATCCTTCACAACGGGCCGCCCGCAAGGACGCGTGTGCGGCCCTCTCTACTCGACCTGTGCCACGGCACGGGTCGTTCTAGCCATGCAGCCGCCCCGGCGATCGTGCTCGGGGCGTATCTCAGCACTCACCGCGCGAGACGCGTGGCGTGCCACACAAACCAGTAAGCAGCAGCCTTCGCTGCTGCGACTCGAATGCTTCAAACGCGCACCTGTGCTTGCGCACGGCGTGCTCTACACAAGCCCCCCGACCGCACGAGCGTGCGGGCGGCTCGAATCCACCCTTCCCCCGCCCTACCGACTGTTGGCTGGGCGGTGGGCGCCGTCCGCCTTGCGGCGGCGGCGACACTTGCAACACGAGCACACCTCGCTTCGGTGTGCTCGATCCTTCACAACGGGCCGCCCGCAAGGACGCGTGTGCGGCCCTCTCTACTCGACCTGTGCCACGGCACGGGTCGTTCTAGTCATGCAGCCGCCTCGGCGATCGTGCTCGGGGCGTATCTCAGCACCCACCGCGCGAGACGCGTGGCGTGCCACAAACCAGTAAACAGCAGCCTTCGCTGCTGCGACTCGAATGCTTCAAACGCGCACCTGTGCTTGCGCACGGCGTGCTCTACACGAGCCCCCCGGCCGCACGAGCGTGCGGGCGGCTCGAATTCACCTTTCCCCCGCCCTCGCCACTGTTGGCTGGGCGGTGGGCGCCGTCCGCCTTGCGGCGGCGGCGACATTTGAAGCGGTCGCGGCGCGTATGCGTCGTACTGTTAGGGCGGCCGGGCCCGAAGACGGCCCGGCCAGGCTCTGCATAAGGCCATCTTCGCCACAACGCGTGGCATTGGTCCAACTACGGCAACCCACAGCGAGGGGGGCCGCTTAGGCGACCTTGCTCACATCAGCTGCATATGCTTCAGTGGTGCAAGGAGGAGTGGAGAGGGACCTTTGACGGTGTATGGCCCAAATCCAATGGGGGCAGCACGTACCTAGTTGTGCGCATATGCGTACGCGACCGTTTTGGAGCGCGGGGCGGCGGCGTCGATAGATATCGACGCCGCCGTCGCCGCGCATCATGACGAGTTCGCATTCCCCATGTGACCCTCTATACCTCACCTTCGAGACAAGCCAGGGTTCAACCCAATGGACCTAGTGTGGCGTCGAGGCCCGCACTGTCTGGACATGCGGGCCGCGGCTGACAGAACGGCGGGCTAGGCATTGAGAGCCCAGGAGTTTTAATAGTGCGGTTCACCGCGCGATTTCTTTTTATTTTTCCTTAGCAAGCGACAATCAGTTCACTTATGGGAAAGAAGAGAAGAAAGCACGCTCCAGTGTGAAACTCCCGAAGGAAGAGCGGTTCCGCGAGCGACCGACAAAGCCAATGGGAGCGGAGCCGCACGCTATCGCCGGCAGTAGCCTTGCGGCGAGCGCGTCCGTCGACGGCTACAACTCGGCGGACGAACACGAGGTCGCCGTCAGCGCGCCCGCTGAGACGATCGAGGCATTTGCGGCGCGGATGGCAGCGACGCGCGGCCTGCAGCTGGTGCCGATGCTGCGCGATGGCAACTGTCTCTTCCGCGCGGTGGCGGACCGCGTCTACGGCGACCATGCGATGCACGACGTTGTGCGCCAGCAGACGCTCGATCACGTTGCGGCGGAGAGCGCGCACTTTTCTCCATACGTCGCGGAGGACATCCACACGTACGTCGCTCGCAAGCGGCGCGACGGCGTGTACGGCAACCACGTCGAGCTGCAGGCGCTCTCGGAGCTCTACAACCGGCGGGTCGAGGTGCGCCGGAGCAGAAGGGAGACGCACCACCGGAGGAGAGGAGAGGGGCTGCGCCGTCGCGAGGTCCGAGGCCAGAGACTCGTCTGTCCCTCGCGAGGTGTACGCGCCCAACGGCTCCGACGAGCCCATCTCGCTCTTCACAGACCAGACGGCCGACCCGCCGCCGACGGGCTCGGTCGCCGCCCACCCTGCGCCTTCCGAGACGCTTCCGAGACGCTTCCGAGACGCTTCCGAGACGCTTCCGAGATGCTTCCGAGACGCTTCCGAGATGCTTCCGAGACGCTTCCGAGACGCTCTTCCGAGACTCTTCCGAGACACGCACGAGGCTCAAGCACCCTGGCCCTAGGTCGCCCCTCCGCTGCGCCTCGTCTACTCTGGCCGGTCCCACTACGACGTCCTCCGCGACCCCGCCCTTCCAGACGCGGGCGTCGGGCTCGGTCCCCTCCGCACAAGCCAGCCACTCTTCCTCGCCCTCTTCGAGACCCCCCCCCCCCCCCCCCCGCGCTCCCCTCGGCACGGAACACACCCCGCCGTCGCGTCTCCCCAGCACTTGCCCTTCCCTCCCCCCCCCCCCCTCCGCCAGGCCTGCCCGACCTTACTGCCGGCGCTGCAGACGAGGCTCAGCTCGCGGCGGCAGCACAAGCCTCCGAAGCGGAGGCGCTCGAGGCGTGCCCCTCTCCAGCACCAAGTAGCAGCCCAGCAGCCCTCGAGAGCCAAGCCGCAGCCGCGCCAGACCCACCCGCCCCTCTCGCAACCTCCCACCGCCCGCTCGCTCGGTGGGCAGGCGGCGCTGCTCGCCACAGCCGCCGCGGACTCGGACGCCGCAGCCACCGAGGCCGCCATCGAGGCGCAGGTCCTGGCCGCCTCCCTCGCCTCCCTCCCCGCCGCGCGACAGGCTCCCGGCGGCGGCAGCGAGGCGGACTCGACCTGCTCGGCGCTGGTGGCGATGGGGTTTGCAGCGGCGGCGGCGCGCGAGGCGGCGGCGCGTTTCGGCGCCGACCTCGACTCGGCGGTGGAGTATCTGGCCGGCTAACGAACCCGCACACCTCTTAAACTCTCGTGCACACACCCCTCCCCTCCCCCCCTCCACGCCGCGGCCGGAGTTAGCGACGTGTAGGGGCAAGGCCGTTTTCGTTTCGATCGCTCTGTGGTGTGTGGACGACACTCGAGACACGAGACCCCGGAGACGCCAAGCGGTCCAGCAGTCAAAAAGCCATATCCCTTCTTCATCAGACTTCAGAGCTGCGACCGAGACCACATGTCGGCGCATGTGCGTTCCGTTTCATTAATATCGATTAGGAGAGAAGAGAGGAGCGTGCGTCAGGCACTGTGAGTCAGACCACACGGAAGTAGGACCTCCTTTTTCTCCTCTCCTTCTTTCCCTCGGTCCTACTCGCGGCGCGCCAGCTGTCGGTCTCCCGGAAGGAAAACTGCGAAAGCCGCCTCCTCATCCACACGACGGGCGCGGCTCTGCGCCAGGGCGCCTGGCCCAGAAAACGAGCGTCTGCCTCAGCCCGCTCCGGCACTTTGCCACGCGGTGCGCGAGGTGCTTGGACGGAAAGGCGACCGCGTCGCCCGCCCGCAGCCGCACTCGAGCCGCGACTCTACCCGCGCCGAGCCGCACCTCGAGCTCGCCGCCCTGCCAGAGGTGGCGGGGGCTGCCTCGGTGGATGGGATATCGTGGGAGGAGGAATGGGCCGCACACGCCTCGTATGCGCCAGCGTTGGACACCATGAGCACAACCGTGACGCACCTCAGGTCGACCAGCTCGCTCTCGTCCACGTCCGCGTCGGTGTGCCAGGCGGCGTAGTGGCCGCCGCGGCCGTACTCTGCGTATTGAACCGGCTCGTAGCGCGGCGTGCAGCGGCCAGACGAGTCGATGCCGAGCGGGCAGACGCCGTCGCCGAGTATGGAGTGCGTCTGCAGCACTGCTTTGCGCAGCTTACGGTCGAGCCACGGCGGGATCTCCGGCTCCAAAAATGACCCTGGCCGGCCCAGGAGGGCGATGCGGCTGTCTCGGTCCTTTCGCGAGCTTGATCCGACCGTGCCGACGCCAAATAGCTGCGACTGTACGGTCGGCTGAACCACGAAGCCCTGGACGCGCGTCTGCTGCAGCGGCGTCAGGAGAGCCTCAAAACGTAGGTATGAGTTCTTCCCGCGACCCACGCGACGCGGCTTCAACGGCCGCAGCCGCTGCTGCTCGGCCATCGCGCTCCTCGAGTGTGCGCTGCCAATCCCTTCAGCCAGCTGAGCTCGCGGTTACAGAGAGATGGGCGCGGTGGGGGCGGAGGAGGCGGAGGTAGCGACGCGTTGGCAGGATTGGTTGGCGCGACGCCAAAGAAGAAATTTGTGGCCCATCGGAATAATTGTAGTGGAAAATTACTCTCGAGCAGACTTTGAGCACCCTTTTCGTAACGACGAGGCGGGCCGCGAGTCGTACGTACGTACGTCCGACTCCCGCCGCCGGAGAGCAGAGCCATGGGTCGCGTGCTGAAGCGCTTCCTGAAGGAGCACGCCGCCTATGCGGCGGCCGGCGTGGCCGCCACGGCGCGCGGCATCGGCGAGGCTGCTAGCGGGGAGGAATCCGAGGACCAATCTTTCTACGTCGCGATGGCGTTGCTGTTCGCCCTTGCATTCATCGGCGGGTGAATTGCAGCACGCGCGGCGGATGCGGGGACCCGACTCGAGACCAATACGCGACCTCGCCCCTCTGCAGGTTCTTGCCGATGATTCTCCAGAAGAACGACGCGATTCTGTGCGTCGGCGATTGCTTCTCGGGTGCGTTGACACAAGCCATGACCGCCACATTGACCGTCGACACCATGTCTCCGTCCGCGCACCCTCGCCGGCGTCCCCACCACCGATGGGCTGCTCTCCTGCAGGCGGCCTGCTTGTCGGCGCTGCCCTCATGCACATGTTGCCCGAGTCGGCCGAGCTGAACGAGATGCTCGCCGGCGAGGAAGTGAGACGCGGGGAAGGGGAGACGGGCGGTGGACACCCGGCCACGGGGAGAGCGGATTAAAGTGCTCCCTGCTTCTCGGGGAAAGAGCGTGCTCTGGCGCGCGCCGCCGACATGCTTTGACTTGAGCCCCGGCGGCTTAGGAGGAGGAAGATGAGGACATGGACGCGCACGGCCGCGCGCTGCACGGCGAAGGGGAAGAAGAGACCTACCCGTGGTCGTTCCTGCTCTGTTCCGTGGCACTCATCAGTGCGCGCCCCTCCCCCCACGCGCCCTTCCCTGAGCCCAGTCCTCTGCAAGCCAAATCTTCCCGCATCGGTGCTGGTTCCGCAACGTGTGACACCCTCACACAGGCCTCATGGCGATCGAGACGGCGGCCTCTGGCACTTGCTGCTCGACTGCCGACAAAGAGCCCGCCAAAAGCCACGTCCCGCACCACCACAGCCTGGGAGGGCTGGAGACCACGGGCAAGGGTGGCAAATCCGGCGCGGTTGCTGCCATCGCAGCCTTCACCGCCTTCATAATCCACTGCGTCCTGGAGGGCCTCGCCCTCGGGGTTGTTGGCGACGACATCATGGTCATGTTCGTTGCAGTCGGCGCACACAAGGGCTTTGCTGCCTTTGCACTTGGGGCGGCCGTCTTCCGCGCCTTTGACAACTGCAAGGCGACGCACACCGCTCACCGCTACCGCCACCGCTCACCCATATCTCCCGTGCCCGCACGCCGGGCGTGCCACGGGCAACTGCCTGGCTCGGAGAAGCGCGGGGGCTTGCCCACGAGCCTGGCCCCACACTCGTGTGCGGAGGCGTGCACCCGGCCGTATTGGCCCTCAGGCGGCGCTGTGCATGTTTTGCTTCTCCATCGCCACGCCGATCGGCATGCTCATCGGACACACCGCGGCCACCGCCGAGGGGGCAGAGAGCCCGTTGCCGCTCGCCTTCAACGCGCTGGCGGCGGGCACCTTCCTCCAGATGGGCGCGGTAGAGGTGTTGGGCAGCGAGATGATGGAAGGCCATGGCACGTGCCCCGGCATTGTCAAGTACCTCTTCGCGATGATGGGGTTTGCCGTCATGGCGGTCCTCGCCCTCTACTGCTAGGGAAGGCTGCCTCCGCGTCCTGACGCTGAGAGCGCTGTGGGCAGCAGCACGCGGTTGGGGAGCTTTCGTGAGTCCTCCCTCTCACTCACTTGTGCGAGCGAGAGAGTCGCCGGGGGTATAGAATATACAGTCGCCGGGGGAGGTTGGGGGACCTGAGGTGATCGAGATCTCGACTCACCCCTCACTCAGAGGCAGGTGGTGGTGGTGCGGTTGCCTGGCGCGTCGCTCACAAAAACACGCCCGCTGTTCACACCTCGAAGAATCCACGAAAGGGGAATCTCCCGTTCGGTTGTTCAGTCGCAACCCCGAAGCCTATCGAACGAGCCATGTCCGCGGTGAGTTCGCAACCGGCGCCCGCGCTGTGCGAATCCGCGCCCCCAATCGCCACCCGGTGGCCCCGTCCGACCACCCGCCTCACCGCCTCTGCCTGATGGACGACAATGTCAATGAGAAAAGGAGGAGCTCACGAAGGTCTTGGGAAAATAAATAAATAAGCAGACCAGGGAAAAGAATATAGACAGTACTGGGCGAGAAAAACGTTAAAGCATAAAGGCCAAAGGACAGCACGCCACCACACACAGGAGATATAAATAAATAAATAAAGCAGACACAAAATCACGGACATCTCTTTTTGCCTCGCGCGCTTCCAACTCGTGGCGGGGCCCCTCAACCCTGATTACCCGTTTCTTTTCCCCCTCTAGAATACGCCTGTGGTGTGCCCCGTGTGGCACCACGACCTGTTGTCTCACCCTGGCCCCCAAGATCGTTTTGGTCGTCACATTGTGGCCCCCGAAAGAAAACAAGAAAGAAAGAAAGAAAGAAAACGGAGGCATGGGAGAAGCTGGCGGGAATTCTTTTTGCCTCGCGCGCTTCCAACGACACGAAGGGACGCCCCCCATCCATGTCCTCCAAACCTGCACGAGGCCCGAACGCGACGGTACTCCACGTCCCGATCGAGTGCAACGCCGAGGTTGCGCTGCCGAGCCAGAGCGGCAAGCGCGCGCAGCCGGGGAAGCGGTCGCGGGCGATTGGCCTCGCAGTGGCAGGCTCGCGGGCCACGCACTCTGCCTTCATCGCCGTCGGTCCGGAGCTGCCTTCGACGGTATCCCTCGCGACGACCCAGCTGAGCGCCGCCGCGTCGGCGAGCTGCTACCCGCTCAGCTCGCTGCATCAGATCCACGCCAAGCCTGAGCTGCTGGCCAAGGGGCGGCTCACGATTGAAGTCCGGCTGGGGAGCACGGTCCACACGATCTTTGTGAAGGACGCCAAGCCGAGCGCCCTCGCGCAGCTGTATCGGGCGCTGAAGGCGGGCCGCGAGCGCGCCAAGGGCTCCGACGGCCTCTCCGGCGCCGCGGGCCTCGAGCTGCTCCGTGAGTTCTTCCCACAGCAAGCCAAGGCGGCGGCGGCGGCGGCGCGGCCAACCGAGGAGGGGCTGCCGCAGCCCGTCAAGGGGCACGTGCGCCTCATGATGGTGGCGGAGGCGGTGGGGAGCACGCCCGGCCAAGCGGGCCGACGCGCGGCCGACGCCCTCATGCGCGGGCTCGGCCTGCGGCTGGCGCCGGGCTCAAAGGGCGGCAGGGCGGAGGAGGGCGGCTACTCGGCGTCGCTGCTCGCGCCGGCGGAGGAGGCCGGCGTGGGGAAGCCGGCCCCGCCAAAGGGGGCGAGCGCCAAGCCCGTCGTGACGCTGCGGACCGCGCAGTGCGCGCACCACAAGCTGAGCGCCCCCTGCTGGGTCGAGGCCGACATCGACACCGAGCGGCTCTCGCCGCCGCGCGAGCTGGGCGCGACGCCGGCGGCGGCGGTCGAGGCCTTGCTCGCTCGCGCCATCGCGCCCGAAGCGGCAAAGCCGCTGCACACGGCTTGTGTGCTGCCGCACCGCTCGGTCCGCACCAGCCACGCCGTGCCCAGCGCCGCCCTCGAGCCGTCGCGCGCGCACCGGCCCGCCTCCCGTCCCCTCCCGTCCCTCCCCTCCCCGCCAGGTGCTCGAGCGCCTGCCCGGTGGCCTCACCTGCCACCTCCGCTCGGGGGACCTCCCCGGTGGCATCTTTTGCACGCGCTTCGAGCTGCGGAACGCAGACGAGCCGCCCTCGGCGCCGCCGCTCGGCCGGTGCGACGTGCGCTACTTCGAGCCGCGCTCGATGCTCGCGGGCCCGATCGCGATGTCGCTTCGGATGTCCAAGGAGGCGTGCAAGGGGTGGGCGAGCGCAAAGGCGGGGCGCGACCTCGGCGTGCTCGGGACGACGCTCGTCGAGCGGGTCGAGGTCTTCTGCACGCGGCTGGTCGCCTCGCGGACGGGGGAGCTGCGCGGCTCCTCCGCGCTGCTCGTCGCGGGCTGGCTGCCTGAGCTCACGGTGACTTGTCGCCCCGCCCGCCCCCTGGTTCGCATGCACATGAGCATGAGGCCGCCCTTACCCCCACCGGCGCAGGTGGCGCCCTTTGTGCGGCGAGACTACAAGTTCCACGGCGACCCGGACGAGTCGATGGGCTCGAAGTTTCTCAAGACCCAAGTCTTCAAGACCGCAGCACCGCACCGCTCGCAGCCCGAGAAGCGCCCCGACGCCGCAGCCGCCGCCCTCCGCCCGCCCCCGGCCAGCCCGCCCGTGTGCCCGCGCCTCAGGAAGCGCCGCATCGAAGAGGTGGCGGCGGGCGGCGCGGCGCTGGAGATCACCAAGCTCGGCACGCCCTTTGGCGCGCGGAGCGAGCCCGCCGCCAGCCCGCACACCTCCAAGCTTGGCGACGGCCAGTCGCGACGCAAGACGGAGGGGGCGGAGGCGGGCGCCGCGGACGCCGCCGCCGCCGCCGCCGCTTCCGCCAAAGCTGCAGCTGCCGAGGCGGCGGCCGCGGCGGCGGCGGAAGCGGAGGCGGCGGCGTGGGCCGGCGCAGATAACATCGAGGAGCTGGGTAGCCTCGGCAAGATCTCGTCGAGTGCGCTGGACACTTCCGGACACTTCCGAGACGCTCCCCAGCCACTCCCCAGCCACTTCCCAGTTCGCAAGGGCGGGAGGCGTGTTCTCCCTTCGGCGGTAGGCGCGGCCAGCCAAGAGGAGGACGACGAGGCGGAGAGGCTGCTGGCGGAGACACTCGGCGACATTGGCGCCGAACCTGAGGGCGGCGGCGACGGCGAGGGGGCGGGCGAGGGGCAGGGGGCTGGCGTGCAGGCGAGCACCGCGGCGGCCACGACGAGCCGCGAGGGCGCCGGCGAGGAGATGGCTGCAGAGGACGGCATCGATGCGACGATCGCCGAGCTCTTGCGCGGCTGACCGCTCGAGCGAGGGACGCGGGAATTGAGCCCGCTAGTCGGGGCCGAACCCGGACGCCTCTTGCGCGCGCCGAGGTGGCACTCGCGGCCACCGACCAGCCGCGAGCCGTGGGACGAAAGCTCTAGACGCGCACTCTTTGTTATCCGCATGTGCGCGCTCCCTCTGCCTCTCGGGCGTCGGTGCACGGTGGCGACGACGACCGGTCGGGGGCTGCCGCGCGCGTTGTGGGGGACGTACATCGCACTCCGCCTAGCACGTACGCTAGCACGTGTGTATACACACGGCTTTCTTTTTCGTATAGAGAGCTCATTCTACATTCACATTGCTGCTCTTCTCACTTATCCTGCGAGCCGAGACAACCAGACAACGCTATAACGCAACATAGTGTGACGCCCAGCGCGAGGGGCGTGCCTCTCCATGATCGAACGGTGCGTGGTGCACTAAAACACTCTGCTAGGCACGCAGCTCTAGCAATCGCTGCACTGTCACTGGGTGTGTGAAAGCTCGTGATCTGACCGTTTGGCCTACGTTGCCCGCCTGCGCAGCTCGTCGCGACCGAGCTCCGAGCTCCTAACGCCCTACGCGCAAGGGGAATGCGCGCTCGCTCGCGCACGCCCCAGGCCGGCGGATCTGAATGCCCCCGTTCCCTGCCCTCGCGCTAAGTAGTACGGTCTTAGCGCTCGTCGCCGCCGCCGAGCGTCATATTGTGGACGGTCCGCTGGCCTTGGCAGTGAACTGCTTTGGCTTTGTCCCCTTGTTCGCTTCGGCGGCAATGATGGCGGCGGCGGCGGCCTGCTGGGCCTTGAGCTTGTCGCGGACGGACTTGCTAGCGTTTTTGTTGCTGGCCAGCGTCGCGGCCTGGTTGTGGTGCGTCTTCACCGCCTCCTTGGGCTTGTTGAACAGCGGCTCGTACCGCTCCGCCGGGAAGCACTCGCAGCGGCCTGTCTCCGGGTTGGGTGCTCGACGGCATGTGCAGTGCTTCTGGCACCAGTGCCGCTGGGCGACGGTCAGCGAGGCGAGTTTGGTGCCCCCGCACCCCACCTCCAAGCACTCGATGGTCAGGTTCGCCTTCTTGTCCCGCTCGGCGATCCCGGCAGTGCCTCCGCCGACGGAGGTCGTGGCAGCCTTCGCCTTCGCGGCTAGTTCCGCCGCCGTGTGCTTCTTAGGCTTCGCTTTGCCTCCCATCTCGCTCAAACAGCGAGCAACAGGCCCTCGTAGACAACGCGAGTCTGTCGGCCACGAAAAGAATTCCTTGGCAATGCGCAGGGTCGGCGTGGAGGGCGATGAACGCGCCGCGAAACCTCGCCGCCTCACCGGTCCTCGCCAACGCCTCAAAAGTGGCGCAGAGTGAGGCGGAGAGAGAGATTTTTAGCAATACCTTAAAGAGAGGTTACAGGCGACGTAAGATCCGTTAGCGGAATACCAAACAACTCTAACACTCACACGTCATTTGGGGCCTGGAGCCCTGGCATTTAAAGGTTGTTGGAAAACAGAACTTCGCCGGAGTTTAAAGTACGTTGGGGGGGCAGCTTTGGACGGTCGACTTCAATTGTGGCCGTTGCCCTGTTCACGCGCGCGCAAGACGTGCAGACAGGGTTGCCAGGTGAGAGCGAATTGTTTTTGTCAGGCGGCGCCCCGAGCGAGCACGTGAGCCCCGTGGCTCCAACCTTGGAGCACTTGGAGCACTTGGAGCACTTGGAGCAACCGGGCCCTTCCTTTTTTTGAGCAGGTGTGCCGCCGCGCGAGCGACGCTCCGAGATCGCCCGACGCCTCGGCGCCGCGAGAGCAGCCGGTCGACGTCGGCACCAAGCGCGCGGCCGCCAGGCGCCTCCGAACCGACAGGGGCGCCGCGGCAGTAGAGAGCACTCCACCCGCCATACCGTTGTTATGGCGGCCGTAACCCCGAGCGGAGAGAGATCTAACATCGAAGGCAGCTCAAAATAAAATCCGCCGGCGCCACAAAACACCGCGCTCGCCCCCAACCCTTCGCCATGCCGTCCACGGGCCGAGTTCGCATGCCGCAACACAACCGCGTCCAGACGTCGGCGTCTCTCAGCACCCACGGCATCTGGCAAAACGCCATTGGGTGCGGCCGCGTTTGGCCTGCCCCCGCACTCACCGCCGCGCTGACCGCCCATCGCCGCGGCAGGCACGATCCGTACGCCGGAGATGTGGACAAGGCAAAGGCGGAGACGAGCGCCGCTGCTGGCGGCGACAGCAGCGCGTACGATAACATGAAGGACCTTTTCGCTCTCGCGCGGCAGCAGGGGAGGCTGGCGGCTGACGACACGCGCGGCGGGTGGAAGGGGCAGGGCAAGCTGGGCTGGAAGGCGGGCGGGAACTGGGTGTCCGGCAAGGACCTGGGCGAGGTATCTCCCGAGCGCAAGGCGGCCGCAGACGACGACATGCCCTCGTCGACCTCGTCGTGGTCCGACATGTCCGACACCGAGGTGGCGCAGTACAAGGCGCCGGCAAAACGGAGCTCGGCCTCCTTCTTCGCGGCGCCGGCGGCGGCCGGCGGCGGCGGGGAGCGGAAGCGTCGGCGCGACAAGGACGAGCGCAAGGAGAAGAAGAAGAAGAAGCACAAGAGCGAGCACAAGCACAAGAAGAGCAAGCAGAAGCACAAAGAGAAAGACGGCCACAAAGAGAGGAAGCGGAGGCGTGACTCGGACTGATGAGCGATGCAGTATGCTGGGTTCGCGTTTTCGGAAAAGCTAAACATGCGTCTATCATACATAGTGCCGCCCTTCTCTTAACAGCTCTCTCCGCAGGCGCGGGCGTCGCGGGGCGCGCCGGGCCCGCCTCGCCCCGTAGTACAGGTGGGCGCGCTGGGGGGAGGCGGGGGGACCGGGCCGCCACGCGCCGCCTCTCTCTCTCTCCCCCCACCACCTTGCACAGGACCAATCTACCCACAGACCGCACAGGGAGCCCTACCAGGCCATCGCGAAGCACATCCCTTGCCCCCTTCCCCTATCCCTCACCCCCAGCCCCAACCGACGAGAAAACAACCGCGTCCGGGGCGCGCAGAGCAGCCAAGCGCGCACAAGCGCCGGCTGGGCCACGACGCGCCGCCGCCGAAAAGAGTAGCAAATCGCGGCTCCCGCGCGTCACTTGGCCAGCGCCGTGGCGGGCCGCCAACGGCCCTGCAGCACCACCATCCATGTCGGCATGCAAGTCGCCGGCGCCGAGCCGCGCGTCTGGCTCTTGTGCGGCGGCGAGTGCGAGCGCCAATAAGTGTCGCTGAGCGGCGGCTCGTCGCGGCCGCCCCCGCCCCCGCCGCACGCGCCCGCGTTGGCGCCGCCGGGCGGGCCTCCGCCTCCGGGGGCGGCGGCCGCCCCCGCGCTGCTGCTGGCGCCCGGCGCCCCAGCCTCCTTTGGACTCACCGGGCCCTGGATGGCTACCGCGCTCAGCCCCAAAACTGCGGCCGCCGCGCCGCACCCGCCGCACCCGACGCTGCCGCGGGCAGGCGGCGGCGGATCCGCGTACTCGGCGTCGGCGCGGTACGCGCCCTCGCCATTGGCTTCGGCCGCGCCGCCCTCGCCCGGCCCGCCGCCGCCGCGCTGCGACGCCACCGCAGTCGTAAAGTAGATGGTCTGCACGGGCTGCGGCAGCTGCGCGCGAAGCTGCGCCTCGCGCGCCGCGGGCCCGAAGAACTCGTCCTCCCCCGCGCGGTCGCGCCCGTCCGCGTTGTAGAAGCCCACCAGGATGAAGCGGTCGCCCGACCGCACCTCGTTGCCCGCGTGCTTGATGTTTCCATCGTGCACCAGGCAGTAGCCGCCCTTTGGGCGAATGAGGATGCCGTCGACGTCGGAGGAGGCGGCGGGGAAGTAGGTGCCGCCGCCGGTGAACTCCTCCTCGTGCGAGAGGCACAGGTTGAAGGTCAGCGCCGTCTCGTCCTTGTGCAGCTTGAGCCCGCGCCCACCGGGCCGCTGCGACGCCGCGGAGTAGCGCACGATGAAGAGGTTGCCGGGCCGGGGGTAGGGCTGCTTGTCAAAGGCAGCCGTCAGGTGCGGGTACTGTCGCCGCGCAAACGGGAGCAGCCGTTCGCGGATCGCGCGGTGGACCAGGTCCTGCGACTCCTTTGTCAGGTTTTGCACAAGGACGTCTGCAGCAGGCGGGTGGACGCGGGGTGAGGAGCGGCGGCGGCCAAAGGGGCGTCAGGGACGGGGGCGGGCAGCGCGGGCCGCGACAGGGCCCTCTCGCGGTTCTCCGAGAGCGCTCGCCGAGCGGCTCTGGGGCTTGCCGAACGGACGGCTCTCGGAAGGCTCTCGGAAGGCTCTCGGAAGGGTCCCAGAGGCGTGGCGCCTTGCGTCGGCAAGCTGACGCCGCGGTCGACCCACCCGATGGAGGATCCGATGCGCTTGGCATCGTCGAGCAGCGTCTTTGTGTCCTCGGGTGAGAACATCTGGAGCGCGTGCACCGACGAGGCGCGGCCCGAGCAGGGTGCCGACTTTTTCTGCTGCTCCGCGTGAAACTGGATGGTCGTCGACGTGGTCGGCACAAACACCGCTGCGCGGACCCGGCCTGTGGCGGGCGGCGCGGAGTGGCGGCGTGGGTGGAGGCGCGCGCAGCGCCGAGGGTGGGAGAGGCGGCGTGGCTGCTGCTGCGGCGGCGCGCGCCGTTCTGCGAGAAGCTCCCGGCCCCATCCACCCGCAAGACCTCGACGTTGGAGCGCACAGAGTGGCTGCCAGAGGTGGCGATCCGAAGCTCCCTGCAGGAGCTCTGCTTCTTCTGCTCGCTCTTTCCGCGCAGCCTGTCGCAAGAGGCGCGGAGGACGCGGCTGGTGAGAAACGAGGCAGCCGGCGCGCGAGGAGAGCTGGAGCTGACAATGGGTTGGCGGGAGTTTCGCGCGCGCGCAGGCAGCTTGCTGAGAATGGGGAGCTGCGCGGCGCGAGAGGCGGAGACGTCGCGTGGGCGAGCGGGACGCGGCGACAGAGGCACGTCCTGACGCCGCGCGGGGCACGTCGCCTCCCCATCCAGCCGGGATTGTGGTGGCTGGATGCCGGGTGATGACTGCGTTTCGCTTCGCCGCAGAGGCGGCGGGCCTTGGCCGGGCGTTTGGATTGGACGTGGGCTGGCGCAGGGCCGCTGGGCGTCCCCGAGAGGCTGGCGCTCACCCGCCGGTGAGCCACTGCATGGCGAAGCGCTCTGGGGCTCGGAGACTTGGGGGTCCGGCGTGCAGAGTCAGTTCAGGCTCTGTGACCTGCCATCAACTCACACACACCCATTAGGGACCCCGACACCCGAAGTGATTCCGACAGCGTTCACGCCGTACTTGGTTGCCAGCGAAAGGGTTTGTTATTGTGAGGCCTGGGGGTCGACTAATTGTGAGGCGGAGGGAGAGAGAGTGTGTACAGAGTCAGAGAGAGAAGTGAGTGACGAGGCCGTCATCGCATTCGCCTTCTGGGACCCAGCGCTGACTTCTGACTGTCACTGCTGTCTCTCCCTTCTCGACTGTCTGTGCTTGTGCGTCTTGGGTCCGGGGTTGTGTTTTTGTGTGAAAAAGGATTTATGTGAACAGCGCAACAAGGCCAGAAAAATTTTATTTTTTTTTGAAACAGGAAGTGTCCGAGACCTCGTGCTACTCGAGTGCACATCTTGGCGCGAATCGTGATGCCCAGCAGCACTCGCTCCGGCGTGCTTGCCACTCGAGCGCCCGCCCCCACCGCCACAGAGACTGCCGCAGAGACTCCGGCAGAGACTCCCACCGCCGAACCTGGCCTCTCGGCCTACGAACTGGAGCGGCTCGCCAACATACGAGCAAATGAGGCTATTCTCGCATCACTCAACCTTGTGAGCTTCAAATCAGAGATGGGGCTCAAGTCCTCCTCAGCGCGTCCGTCGCAGCGCGGCGTCGCCAACGCGTCTCGAAAGCGCTCCTCTTCGACTCCGACCGTCCCGACCCGGCAATCGTCCCGAACCCGCAATGTGGCACCAGAGTTCAGTGGGGTTGCCGAGGAGCACCGCGATGGCCGGATCGAACTCGACTCGGGAGACATCATCGCCCCGGGTGTTGGCAAGGTTGCCCGCCCGGAAGACCTCTTCAAGCAGCTCGACCCGCGCACGCCGATCCCTTTCCACCGCGTCAACGACGACGACATGGAGGAGGCGGAGGAGGACGTGCGGGCGGAGGACGTGGAGGCGGCGGCGGCGGCGATGGCGGCGGAGGACGCAGCGGAGGAGGAGGAGGAGGAAGAGGAGGACGTGCCCCTCTCTGCGCGCCTGCCGCCGGCCGCACGCGCTGCGGCTGCTGCGCTGCCAAAGCCCGACGAGCGGGACGGCGCACTGCTCCGCCTCGTCACCTCCGGCCAGGAGGGAGGCTCGAGGGAGGAGGCGCCCCGACAAAAGGGCAGGCCGGCCGGCAAGGGACGGGGCGCCGCCAAGCCGCCCGCCGCTGCCTCCTCCCTCGCACGCTGCTCGCTCGCCGAGGCGGACGTGGCCAAGGTGAGCCCCCCCGTGTGCGGCTTAGCTGTGGCAAGAGCGCCGGTTCACAGATGGGTTGATAAGAAACAAGAAGCTTCACAGCCTTGCGCGCGCGAGCAGGTGACCAAGTCCGCGGTGGTGCACCTGCAGTTCCAGCCGCGCGACGACACGCTCCTCCTCGCGGCGGGCGACAAGGACGGCCACGTGTCGCTGTGGCACTGCGACCGCGCCGAGGACGACCCGTCCGACGGCGTGCACCTGCACAGGCCGCACAAGCAGTACATCTGCGGGCTGCGGTGAGATGCGGCCGAGATGCGGCCGAGAGAGGGTAGTCGGCGCCCCTCTCCGCCCCGCTGCGACGCCTCTTTCGACGCCCCAGGTGGCAGCCGCACTCGCTAGACTGCCTCTTCTCCGCCTCGTACGACGGGACCGCAAAGTGCCTCCGGCTCGGCCGGCGCGAGTTTGTGACGCTCTGCCACGCCGACAAGGAGTTCTCCGCCTTCACGCTCGGACAGGCCTGCCCCTCCCTTCTCTACCTCGGCACAAACGACGGCGAGGTTGGCGGCTACGACACGCGAGCCGGCGCCCTCTCGCACCCCTTCGCCGCCCGGCACGGCCGCAAGGTGAACACGCTCTCGATCGACGCCGGGCGCGACTGGCTCCTCGCGTCGGCGGGCTCCGACGCGGCGGTGCACGTCTGGGACGCGCGCAGGCTGTCTGGCGGCGGCGGCGGCGCCAAGCCGGTCGCGACGCTCAGCCTGCCCAAGGCGTCGCAGGCAGCGGAGTGGGCGCCCGACGGCAGCGGCCGGCTCGCGGTCACCTGCTTCGACGACCGGCTCCGCGTCTTCTCGCTCGCGGCGCTGGCGGACAAGGCGGCCGCCTCGAGCGCGAAGAGCGTCCCCGCCGCGAGCGCCGAGCCGGCCCTGGCCGTGCGGCACTGCACCGCGACGGGGCGGTGGGTGCGCGCTCCCGGACGCCCCTCCTCTTGCGGCGCCCTGCAGGTAACGCCTCGCCACGCCCTCCCGCTGCGCACAGGTGGTCCCCTTCCGCGCGACGTGGACGGCGAGCGGCGACGGCGTGCTCGTCGGCGGGATGAAGAGGACCGCCGAGGTCTACGACCCCGCCAGCGGCAGCAGGCTCGCCTCGCTCAGCTCGGAGCACATGACCGCCATCCCGTCGCGCAACGCCTGCCACCAGGGCGGCACCGTCGTCGCCGCCGCGACCAACTCGGGCCGCGTCCACATCTACAGGACGTGAGCGGCAAGGCACCTGCGAGGCGGCGCCTTCTACCTCGCGCGACGCTCTTGGTCCGCAGCGGCCGCTGGCAGCGTGTAGCACTCTCGTATCTCGCGAGTCTCTGCCAGTGTATTCTGTATCGATGCGGCTCAATCGGACCTTGGAGCGCTGGAGGCTGGCGCGCTAGGGGCCTATGGCTATGCGCTAGCCTTGGCGCTAGGCGCTGCGCGCCGTGTGTGACGCGATCGCTAGAGCTCACTCGCTCCTCACGCAAACGGCGGAGTTCTCCTACTCTCCAACGAGAGCTAAGATATGTACTATGTACACACTGTCGGTTGTGTTTCGTTCATGCATTACGGCTCTACGGACTACGCACTGTCGGGAGACACCAGAAGCGGCGCCAGAGACCTCGCACGCTCACAGCTCAGTCGATGTCCGGGCTCTCGCTCGCAACAACACATGAACGAGTTTGACCCCCGTCCGTACCGCTGGCATGAACAATTTGCCGGCCCAGTCGCGCGTGGTCGCGCTGCCAGCCAGGTCGAGCACGCCCCTCAGCCTCACTCTCTGGCCGTTGCCTGCACACTGCGGTCAGCATCACAGGCGCGGCCACGGCTCCGATTGGGCGAGCGGCGCGGGCGCAACGCACGTCGTGGAGCCGCTCTCGCAGCCTCTTCGACCCCCTCTCCCTGCTCAAGCGTCGTCTCGGTCGTCGTCGCCGCCGCCGCCGCGTCGGGGGCGCGCTTGGAAGTCTCGCCGGCGCCTTGGCGGAGGATGGAGTGCCTCGCCCGCAGGCAGACGCGGCCCTGTAGGTAGGCGAGCAGCAGCGCAGGGCAAAGCGAGTGGGCGAAGAGCAGCACCAGCACCGGCATCGGCGGCTCAGTGAGGAGGCCCGCGAGCACACACGACAGGACGCCGCCTCCACACAGCAGCGCGATGGCCGCTGCCACCGCCGCCACCCTCTCCCAAGGCTCGCGGCTCGCACCGGCATCTCGTCCCTGCACAGCCTCACGGCGAGGCGCATGCTCGACATTGAAGTCGATCTGGTCCTCGTCCTCCAGGTCGAGCTCGAGCGGCGTCGCCTCCCACGCAACCACCTCGCCGTCGAACAGGAACTGAGCCGGACCGGCATCTCTTGACGCGGTGTACTGGGAGAAGACGCGACCGAGGTTGTCTGTCATTTTGAGGCGATATACCTCCAGCTCTCCCTCCTCTGGAGCGCAAATTCGTAGGCTGATTGTCGACTTGCGGCGCCTCTCAGCCGCCGCTGTGGCTGCGGCTGCCGCCTCCTCTCGCTCAGACTGGATGAGCGGCGCGAGACGCTCGATCAGAGCCGACTTGACGCCACTCGTCAGGCAGCCGCGAGACTTGAGCTCATCTCGCAGGACAGCCGCTGTCGAGCGGGCGAGTTCTTCGGCCAGCACCGTGCCGTACATCGCTCTTGTTTTTTGGTTTGAGCATGGGTAAAGAAAAACGAGTGCCCACAATCGGTCCTGGGTTCCCTTTTATGTAGAGTGCGTTATGTTCTTGTTTTCTATCCGCTTTCTCTCTTTCGACGAGATGCCCGGATTTATTTCCGGGACAGCTCAGCATCCCCTCACTCACGCACGCGGACGGAAATTCATCGATCGAGCCCACCTCTATCTCGAACCTCTATCCGCCGCCGGACAGCACAGCACACGCCAGCAGTGTGCGCCGCGGCTGCGTTCTCGAGGTGGATATCCTTTGGCCGCGTTGGGTCACTCTGTCAAAGTTGACAAACGGAAACGCTTCATCGCAAACCCTGTCTGAGTCTGTCAGCAGAGACCAGAGACCAGAGTCCTCCTACACGTAAGAGAGCCGCACACAACGAAAGTTCACGGCGGCTGACGCCCGAGTGCAAAGATGAAAAGTCCTTTTAACTCCCTGTGTGGTGGCGGCGTGCCGTTCTCCCCTTTCTCCCACCCTCCCTTGCGCCTTGGTTTGTCCTTACCGGCAACTGGTCTCTGCACTCTGGTGGTGTGCCGATGTCCGGCCTTGAGCTTTGTCAGTTTGCTGTGAAAGAAAGAAAGAAAACAGACAACCCAAGGGAGGGATGGGAGGACGGCACGCCGCCACACAGGGATTTTAAGGAGAGGAGTGTGGTGCTAGCCGTCGCCCACCCACTTGGGCGTCTGCCTCTCCCCTAGCCTCTCCCTATCTCTCTTTGCAGTCTCTCTCCAATTCGCAGCGACCTTCATGCCGCCTCGCGGTCTTCTCACTCTCGTCGTTCTCTCTCCTGCCGCTTCATCCTCTGACTCATCGCTCTCTCGCTCTCCTCGGCCTCGTTCTGAGACGCTCAGTTTGCTGTGAGTGAGAGAGGCCAGAGGGGCAGCTTGGTTCTACGAATTATTTCTTTCTGTCTTTGTGCTGTGAATAAGGCTTGTACTCTACGAATCTTTCTGGGATTCTCTGTTTTTTTCAGTCCCGCGGCCAGTGTTTGTAAAAAGAAAGAAAGAAAACAGACAACCCAAGGGAGGGATGGGAGAACGTGTTTGTAGTGTTTGTAGATGACTTTCAAATTCCCTTCTAAAATTCTTTTCTACGGCATCCCCGCCGAACCTTCAAGCGTAACGCCTTTCTGGAGTGATCGCCGCCCACGTCAGTCCCATCGAGGATCGAGCACCCACAAACGATGGGAGTCGCCGCCTCGAAAAAGACCCAGAGCTGCTGGCCAATGTCGCCCAAGCCGGTCCTCCATTATTTTGACATTAACGGCCGGGGCGAACTCAGCAAGGTGCCCTCCGCTCTTGCAGCCATCGCGCCAACGAGCCGACCCCCTTCCTCCGGCCTCGATGAGCCACGTGTAGCACCAGGCCACCCCGCTCGCGGTTGCGTCGCTGGTAGCACTGATCGCCGCTCGTCCCTTCTCAGCTTATCGCCGCTGTGTCGCTGGTAGCACTGATCGCCGCCCGTCCCTTCTCAGCTTATCGCCGCTGTCGGCGGCCTCGAACTCGAATGCGTCGAGTACCCATTTTCGGCAAATGGAGCCTCTGCCGCCGACAAGTTGAAGGCGGGCCCGGTTCAGTCGGAGCACACCAAGGCGGCTACCGCGATGGGCATGGACGGTTGTGGTCTGCCAATCTTAGTGCACGGTGACCTCAAGATCTACCAGAGCTTTGCCTGCCAGAACTACCTCGCGTCTATCGGTCCCAAGTATCCAAAGGTCACCGCGCAGCAGCAAGCCGTGGACGACATGTTTCAGGGCGCGTTGGAGGACTGCATGGGCCTCGGCGCCGGGGTCATCCTGAGTGGTGGCGACCCCGCGCTGGTGCCAAAGGTCATGGAGAAGGTTCTCGCTCACCTGAGCAAGTACATCCCGGACAAGGGTTTCGTCCACGGCAAGGATGCGCCCACCACGGCCGACTTGGCCGTCCTCGTCCTGACACAGGCGCTGATCCCGTTCGGTGCGACGCTGGGCGAGGGCGCTGCCGAGTGCTACGGGAAGTTTCCCAAGGCTGTGGCTCTGGGCGAGCGGGCCGCCGCTTTCCCTGCGATTGCGACATGGCTCACCAACGAGCACTGCAACCTCAAAAAGCCGCCAAAGGCTGCACGCAAGTGAGGACCAGGCTTCGACAGTTCGTGATGACCGAGATCTTCTCTCGAGGTACGAGGACGATATCTTCGGGCCGGGTGGGTCGTGTGAGTGTTGATTTGTTTGGTGCGTTCCAAGTTGGGGGGAGCGGGAGGCTCGCGAGTGAGACCGCGAGAGATGCGCAGACGGAGAAGGCGCTCTCATCATCCCGTATCGCAGACGGAGAAGGCGCTCTCATCATCCCGTATCCGCAGACGGAGAAGGCGCTCTCATCAACATCATCCCGTATTGCAGACGGAGAAGGCGCTCTAATCATCCCGTATCGCACCGAAGTGTCTTTGATGTGCCTAATCGTAGTTGACGGAAGAGGGGACGTAGACCCTCCTAACAGGGCATCAAGGAGAAGGACGCACGTCGCGCGCCACGTTCCAAACTCGAATCGCCGACCGCAAATAGATCTAGCCCCGGAGCAGCATGCCCACCAACGAGCGCAAGAGCTTCTTCCGTCCCTTTACGCGCTCAAAGACGTCCATCAAGTCGGCGTCCAACCTGCTGACAACGACCCGACTCGAGTTCCGCGCCGTCTTCCGCGCTGATGGCGTCGCCACTGATCCGTTCAGCACGTACACCGAGCAGGCGCTCCACGACGCGCTGCAGCTCGCCATACCCGCTGGCACCAGGGGGAGCCTGACACCATCCGTTGACTCCAGGGGCCAGCCGGCAGCACTCGTCCGCGTAGTTGCAACCGACTCCCGCGCCCTCTACGAGCTCCGGGCGATGGTCGTCAGCGGAGACTTTATGCGCGAGCTCACTCGGCAGCTTCGCGCGAACGTCAAGGAGGTGCGCCGCTCGCAGCGCGTGGAGTCGATGCGCACCGGCGCGCCCACCAGCCTCCCTGACGACGACCGCGACCTCGACAAGCTCGACGACGACTCTGCAAACGGCTCCGCTCCCGGCGTCACCGAGATGACCATGATGGATGACGACGACAACATTTGGGAGAGGATCCGTCTGATGCTGCCGTGGGAGGAGAAGTCGGAGAAAGACCGGCGGAATGAGGTCAAGCGCGAGCTCAACTCTTGCATCCAGCAGCGCACCGAGATGCGTGACAGGCTGGCCGAGATCGAGGCCAAGTGCACCGAGCTCACCGAGCAGCTGGCGACCATGTCTAAGAGCACCGAGGAGCCCGCCGCCGAGGTGGTGGCGAAACGGGAGGCAATCGAGGCGCCGCCGCCGCCGCCACCGGCGGCCGCGCTCTCCGAGGACGAGGTCTCCGACTCGTCCGCCAGCAGCGATGCGGGCGACCCCGTCGGCCCCGTCGCGGCCAACCACGTCGCGCTCGAGGAGCTGACGCCCGAGCAGTTGGAGATGGTCAAGGATCTCTCGGCCGCGTACCTCGCCGCGGGCGGCGAGCTCGACGAGTACGGCGACATCTTCATCCTCCGCTTCCTCGTCGACCGCGACTGGAAGTACGAGAAGGCCAAGAAGAAGGCCGAGGCGACCGCGGCGTGGCGTGCCAGGAGCGGCGTCAACGGCTTCCGCAAGCAGATCGCGGGCGGGCTCGCGTACCACGAGATCCCCAACATCAAGGAGCTCTTCACGAGTGTCGCCGTCGCCAACTGCCACTCGCGCACGAGGTCTGGCGACCTGCTGACCTTCATCGACTACGGCTCGCTCGACGTGACCAAGTTCTTCAAGATGCTCGACAACACGCAGTACTTCGATATCAACAACTTCATCCTCGAGTACGCCTCCTACCACGCCGACAAGCTGACCAAGGAGACCGGCATCCTCGTCCGGCAGGCCCGCCGCCGCCCTCGCCGCCGCCGCCTTCGCCGCCGCCGCCCCCCCCCCCGTCGCCCCCTGCGCCAAGCCCGCCTGTACTACCCCGAGCTGCTCGCAGCCCGCCGACAGTACTACCCCGAGCCGCTCGCGCCCCCCCCCGTCGCCACAGTTCATGGTCATCGACGCGGGTGGCATCGGCCTCGGTCACGTCTCGCTGCGCATGTTCATCCGCTTCAAGCCGATCATGCCGCTCGCCGACCTGTACTACCCCGAGCTGCTCGGCGGCGCGCGCGTGCTCAACGCGGCGTGGGCGCTGCACCAGGGCTGGAAGCTCGTCAAGCCGCTCCTCTCCAAGCAGATCCAGGACATGGTCGGTATCCTCGACGCCAAGCACACGCAGGGCGCGCTGCTCAAGGTCGCGGACCCGGAGGCTGTGCCCGACTACCTCGGTGGCGAGTGCGCCACCATCCCGCGCCCGGCGGTCAACGAGTACCCCAGGGCGGGCATGGACGGCGTGGATGCTGACGCCATCTGCCCGGGCAAGAAGCTGGGCGCCTACATGCGCCGCACGCTCGCGCCCTGAGCATCACCCGCACTCCGCGCTGGCGCATGCTTCCACCCCGTGGAGATCGCTCGTGAACGCGAGTTGTGGAGCTTTGTTTGTCGATAGGTCTAGCAGAGATGGCAGCGTCACACCATCCTTCCCAGGAAGGGACCTGCTAGCGAACCTCGTTTTTTTTCCCTGCTGGGTTCCGGCTCCTACCCAGATAGGGGTCTGTTGACACCCGTTAGACCCTATGCGCTATGCAATAGGGTAGGTCCGGTTTTGACCGCTCCAGAGGGCCCCGGGCATTTTTTCGCTTCGCTGCGCGCCCCCCTGGGAATAGGTAGGTAGGTGGGGCACGGAGCCTGGCGGTTGGCTCCCGCAATAAATAGGTAGGTATAGCTAGGGCGTTTTGGCGCGAGTGCAGTCGTTGCAGAGTCCGCCTTTCTGGAAGAGCCGGAACCCTGCCACGTTGGCACTCTCCTGCGCTGCCCACGCCCTGCCTCCGCGCTCTTTCAGACGCTCTTCATGCAGTTCGCCGTCGCTATTGTGTTCGCCGTTGGCCTCCGCATGCTCATGAATCTGTGGCTCGGAGCCGCTGTGCCGGGCGCACACCCGCCGCGCGCCTCCCACCCTCCGCAAGTGGCAAGCGCGCCCGCCGATGTGGCAGCGATCCGGAAAGAGCTACTCACGCTGCAGCGGCTGGTTGGAGCACAGGAGCAGCTGTTTAACGCGGAGCGCGCGGCCAGCGCGGCCAGCGCGGCCGCCGCCGCCGCTTCGGCTGCTGCCGCGGCCGTCCTGCGTCCGCAGGCGACCGGGCCGCCGCCGCCGCCGCCGCCGCCAGAGCAGACGGTGTGGAGCGAGACTTCGATTGGCCGGCTCGCCTCGAGCATGCGTGCGCTCTCGAGCGAGGTGGATGGCGGTCCGCTGCCCACGCCGCCAGCGTCGCCCGACGCTCGGCACGCCTCTGGTGCGCCTCGCCACTCCGCGGAGGGTGCTCTCGCCGCGGTGGAGGAGTCTCTCGAGCGGCTGACCGCGCGAGGCGCCGAGGTGGAGCGGGCGTGGGCGGCCCTCCACTCGGAGCGAGCCAGCCTGGAGCGGGCCGCGGCGGCGCTGCGGCGCGCGCTCTCCCCGTCGCGTCCAGCCGGCCAGCCGGCAGGCTCGCAGCGGGGCGGGGAGAGGAGAGGGGCGGACGCCGCCTCGGCGACGAGCGCAGCCGCGGCGGAGCCGCGCCGGCCGCGCGGCGCTGGCGACGATGCGGCGCCGGCGACGGCGAAGGCGGTGCCGCGGCGCAAGCCGGTGCGGAGGAGTTCGCCCGACGACTGGGAAAAGGAGTGGGAGGAGGAGGACGCGCACGAGAAGCTGGTCGAGTCAACGGCGGGCCAGCTCAACTCGGAGGTCGAGAGGCTGCTCCGCCTCTTCGCCGCGCCGCCCACCGCCGCCAAGCCCTCCAAGGGCAAGGGCCAGCCCGCGACCAACCCCGCCAGCGGGCTGCCGACAGGAGACATCAAGCCCGCCGCGGCAGCCGCGGGGACGCACCAGGCGCACTCCCTCTCAAAGCCTCAGCAGCCGACCCTCGCCGACACGGAGGGAGACTTCGAGGTGGAGGAGGTGGACTGAGCGAGCGAGCGAGCAGCGAGGCGCGTCGGTCTCCAGTGGCGTACACACGAACGGTTAAACGCGAGACCGGGGTGTGGGCGCGCGTATATAGCCTAGAGGGCGTAACCGTAAGTGGACTAAGGTTTTCGTGCGCGGTTGGGGTTGCCGGTTCGCGGAGTGCGCGAATGTCCGGACGTGACCAGGGGTTTAGGGGGTCAATAATTCCCATTTTCATAAATACGCAGCGGCGCGCAGACAGCGCCGCGCTCAAAACAAAAGCAGTTCAGGTAAAGTGTTGTGACTCGTGGAGGGGGTGCTCCATGCAGAGGGGTGGGTCGCATGCAGAGTCTCGACGGCGCCCAGCCGAGGCGACAGCGCTCGTGTCGCGCACGCAGCGCGCGGGTCTCAGGGGCATGCCGCAGGGTCCCCGCCTCGCGCGAAGCTCCGCGCCGGCGCGCTCTAGTTACCCAGAGGCGTCTCGGACACGTTGAGGATGCGGACGGTCCACTGCTTGAGCCCGTCGCCGTTGCGCATGGTGTGGACGACCACCACCGCGTCGCCGTTCGCGAAGATCCCCTTTGCGATGCCCGCCTTGAAGCCCGCCTTGACGTGCCTGCCCTCGCCGCGCTTCTCCTGCGTGAGGATCGACAAGGTGTTGCACATGTACCCCTCGATCTGGTTGGCGATGCGGCTGTCGTTGCAGACGGCCATGATCTTGGCCTGCGGGTGGTACTTTGCGAGCAGCCGCGCGGTCTCGCCCGTCTCGGAGAGGACGATGATCGCCTTGGAGCCGATGTCGGTCGCCATCTTGACGGCAGACGAACACGCAGACTCGACCAGCGAGACGCGCTTCGCCCTCTTCGTCTTCTTCATCTGCTCGAAGATCTGGTCGTAGCCCGTCTCGTCCGACTCGGCGAGGTTGGCCTCGGCCTGCTGGCAGGTGCGCGCCATGATGGCGACCGCGTCGCGCGGGAAGGCGCCGTTGGCCGTCTCGCCGGAGAGCATCACGGCGTCGGTGCCGTCGAGCACCGCGTTCGCGACGTCCGAGCACTCGGCGCGCGTCGGGCGCGGGTTCGAGATCATCGACTCGAGCATCTGCGGCGAGGCGGAGGGGAAGGCGGCGCGTGGAGGGCGCGGCGAGGGCGAGGGCGCGGGGCGAGGGCGCGGGGCGAGCGGCACGGGGCGCGGGAGTGCGGTGGCGGCCGTGGGTAGCGGGCAGGCCGGCGAAGTTGGTGGCGGGGGGCGGGAGGGGTTTCGTGGTGTGCGGGCGCGCCGCCTGCGTCGCCACGACGCAGGGCTATATCTCGGCTACTCTCAGCTTCTTCGAGGCTCTGTCTCGCGTCACCTGCGTCGCCACGACGCAGGGCTTGCCCGCCGCACGGCACTTAGCAATCATCATCTTTTGCTCGCGGAAGACCTTCTCGGGCGGGATCTCCATGCCGAGGTCGCCGCGCGCGACCATGACGCCGTCCGTGGCGGCGAGGATCTCGTCGAACTTGTCGAGCCCCTCCTGGTTCTCAATCTTTGCAATCACCTGCGGGCAGGGGCACGAGTGAGATCGCTGACGCGGCGCGGTGCGGAGTGCGGGCAGGTGGGCGGTCGGCGCGGTGCGGAGCGGCGGGGTGGTCGGAGGGTGGTCGGAGGGTGGGGTCTGTTGCCTTGATGGCGGAGCCGTCGCCGTGCTTGGACTCCTTGAGCGTCTTTTTGATGAAGTGGATGTCCTCCGCCGACTGGACAAAGGAGGCGGCGATGAAGTCGACCTTGTTCGGCACGCCAAAGTTCTGCAGGTCGTCGATGTCCTTGGGCTGCAGCACGGGCAGGTCCACCTTGACGTTGGGCAGGTTCATGTTCTTGCGCTCGCCGATCGACTGGTTGTTCTCGACGCGGCAGATGACGGAGGCGGCCTTGCACTCCTTGACGGTGAGCACGAGCGAGCCGTCGGCGATGAGGATGGTGGAGCCCTTCTTGACCGAGGTGGGCAGCTTGTCGTACGTGCACGCGAACTTGGTCTCGTCGCCGAGGAAGGAGTAGTCGGTCGTCAGCTCGAGGTCCTGGCCCGCCTTGAGGTGGATCTTCTTATTGCACGACTCCTTGAAGAAGCCGGTCCGGATCTCGGGACCCTTGGTATCGAGGAGGATGGCGACGTTCTTGTCGGGCCGCTTGGCCGCCGCCTCGCGCACGCGCTTGAGGCACGCGCCGTGGCCCTCGTGATCGCCATGCGAAAAGTTGAAGCGCGCAGTGTTGAGCCCCGCGTCGATGAGGTCGACGAGCGTGTCGACGTCCCAGCACTGTGCGGCGCGGGCAGAGGCTCAGCGGCGGTGGCACTGTGCACGCCGGGCGCGCGCTGTGAGAGCATGGCTACACACACTACACATATGCGGGCGCGCACCGCCGGGCCCATCGTGCAAAAGATCTTGGTCTTCTTCTCCTGCACCGCGGCAGAGGCGGTGAGGCGGGTGGTCGGACGGGGCCACCGGGTGGCGATTGGGGGCGATTCGCAGCGCGGGCGCCGGTTGCGAACTCACCGCGGACATGGCTCGTTCGATAGGCTTCGGGGTTGCGACTGAACAACCGACGGGAGATTCCCCTTTCGTGGATTCTTCGAGGTGTGAACAGCGGGCGTGTTTTTGTGAGCGACGCGCCAGGCAACCGCACCACCACCACCTGCCTCTGAGTGAGGGGTGAGTCGAGATCTCGATCACCTCAGGTCCCCCAACCTCCCCCGGCGACTGTATATTCTATACCCCCGGCGACTCTCTCGCTCGCACAAGTGAGTGAGAGGGAGGACTCACGAAAGCTCCCCAACCGCGTGCTGCTGCCCACAGCGCTCTCAGCGTCAGGACGCGGAGGCAGCCTTCCTAGCAGTAGAGGGCGAGGACCGCCATGACGGCAAACCCCATCATCGCGAAGAGGTACTTGACAATGCCGGGGCACTTGCCATGGCCTTCCATCATCTCGCTGCCCAACACCTCTACCGCGCCCATCTGGAGGAAGGTGCCCGCCGCCAGCGCGTTGAAGGCGAGCGGCAGCGGGCTCTCTGCCCCCTCGGCGGTGGCCGCGGTGTGTCCGATGAGCATGCCGATCGGCGTGGCGATGGAGAAGCAAAACATGCACAGCGCCGCCTGAGGGCGAATACGGCCGGGTGCACGCCTCCGCACACGAGTGTGGGGCCAGGCTCGTGGGCAAGCCCCCGCGCTTCTCCGAGCCAGGCAGTTGCCCGTGGGGCGTGCGGGCACGGGAGATATGGGTGAGCGGTGGCGGTAGCGGTGAGCGGTGTGCGTCGCCTTGCAGTTGTCAAAGGCGCGGAAGACGGCCGCCCCAAGTGCAAAGGCAGCAAAGCCCTTGTGTGCGCCGACTGCAACGAACATGACCATGATGTCGTCGCCAACAACCCCGAGGGCGAGGCCCTCCAGGACGCAGTGGATTATGAAGGCGGTGAAGGCTGCGATGGCAGCAACCGCGCCGGATTTGCCACCCTTGCCCGTGGTCTCCAGCCCTCCCAGGCTGTGGTGGTGCGGGACGTGGCTTTTGGCGGGCTCTTTGTCGGCAGTCGAGCAGCAAGTGCCAGAGGCCGCCGTCTCGATCGCCATGAGGCCTGTGTGAGGGTGTCACACGTTGCGGAACCAGCACCGATGCGGGAAGATTTGGCTTGCAGAGGACTGGGCTCAGGGAAGGGCGCGTGGGGGGAGGGGCGCGCACTGATGAGTGCCACGGAACAGAGCAGGAACGACCACGGGTAGGTCTCTTCTTCCCCCTCGCCGTGCAGCGCGCGGCCGTGCGCGTCCATGTCCTCATCTTCCTCCTCCTAAGCCGCCGGGGCTCAAGTCAAAGCATGTCGGCGGCGCGCGCCAGAGCACGCTCTTTCCCCAAGAAGCAGCGAGCACTTTAATCCGCTCTCCCCGTGGCCGGGTGTCCACCACCCGTCTCCCCTTCCCCCGCGTCTCACTTCCTCGCCGGCGAGCATCTCGTTCAGCTCGGCCGACTCGGGCAACATGTGCATGAGGGCAGCGCCGACAAGCAGGCCGCCTGCAGGAGAGCAGCCCATCGGTGGTGGGGACGCCGGCGAGGGTGCGCGGACGGAGACATGGTGTCGACGGTCAATGTGGCGGTCATGGCTTGTGTCAACGCACCCGAGAAGCAATCGCCGACGCACAGAATCGCGTCGTTCTTCTGGAGAATCATCGGCAAGAACCTGCAGAGGGGCGAGGTCGCGTATTGGTTTCGAGTCGGGTCCCCGCATCCGCCGCGCGTGCTGCAATTCACCCGCCGATGAATGCAAGGGCGAACAGCAACGCCATCGCGACGTAGAAAGATTGGTCCTCGGATTCCTCCCCGCTAGCAGCCTCGCCGATGCCGCGCGCCGTGGCGGCCACGCCGGCCGCCGCATAGGCGGCGTGCTCCTTCAGGAAGCGCTTCAGCACGCGACCCATGGCTCTGCTCTCCGGCGGCGGGAGTCGGACGTACGTACGGACGACTCGCGCCCGCTCGTCGTTACGGAAAAGGGTGCTCAAAGAGTAATTTTCCACTACAATTATTCCGATGCGCCACAAATTTCTTCTTGGCGTCGCGCCCGAACAATCGGCGAGTCGTGCAGCGCATGCACATAGGTGTATATGCTGCTCATCCACGCCACGCTGTTGACGATCTCTGGCAATAGCCGCAGCGACTGCCATCGGCAACGGCTCCACCAACGCTGCGGATCCGCCTCCTGCTGCGACGGCAGCGACGCGTGGCGGATCCAGCGGGCGCGCCTCGAGGAGCAGCATGCCGCCTCTGTTCGCCAGCGGCGGCCACGCTTTCTGCCCTTTGCTGACGCGCGGCAGTGGGCCCGCGCCATGTTTTTCACTGAGGAGGCTGACTGGCGCGACTGGATTGCCAACGGAGAGAAGGCGCCATCGAGACGCCCTCGCTAGCCTCCCCTCCTCCTCGTCCGCACCGCGCCGCGCCGCGGCTGTCTCCCACAGCGCCGGTCAGCTTCTGCTTGGAAGCACAGAAGGCTCGGGGTCGGGCGAGGGTCTCAGCGGCACGGACGGCCGCCCGCCCCTCTTCCCACGACTCCCGGGAAGCGGCGACGCTGACTGCTGCCCGTCCACGCGCGCAGCGAAACCCCTACGTCCCCCGCGAGCCGGACGTGGTGTACGCGGACCGGGGCTGGGAAGGCTGGGACGACTTCCTCAACGGCGAGATCGAGAGCCTGAGCGACATTATGCGGCCGGGCTACAAGCGCGGCCGGTGAGAGAGACACTTCCGAGACACTCCGCTTCCACGCCCGCATTGCTTCGCCGCCGCGTCGCCCCTCGCGGACCCCCGCAAGCTGCAGCACGCGCGAGGGGGGCCTTGCCCCGCAGGTGGCTGAGCGGCCCTCTGAGCGAAGAGAGCCACCCGGAGAACCTGCCGCCTGAGGACGGCGAGGGCCAGCAGGAGGACGATCGGCCGCGCCGGTCCTGACCTTCCCTCACGCCACCGAGCCCTGTGCCTGTGGCTTGCCATGCGCGTGTGGGCCGGGGTCCGCCCGCTCGGCCCGCCCGCGCTGCATGGCCCGCGCCGGGGCGCGCGGGGAGAGACCGAGTGCGGCTCTCAGTGTGCGACCTGCGACCGGTCGATGCTCGATCTTGTACATATCGTGTTTTGTACCATAGGGTGGCCGAGTGTAATGCGCCATTGCGCGCCCCCCCCGACCCCCCTGCAGTCGACGACCTGGCGACCCCACCCCCCTTTCTCGTTTCTCTGTCCTCGGACCTCTCTCTCTCTCCCCCGAACCATTTCTCGGACAGCAAACTCTCACAGCAGACTCAGAGGGCCGGTCTCTCTCGCAACCCGCGCCGCCCGATCCCACACCTGCGGCAGCTCGTGCTGAACCGTGGTCGTACCCCGGCTCGCCGCGGCGCCACACCGACTCCTCCGCACCGCCTCAGTGGCAGCTCTCCCGGTCTTCCAGCCTTGCGCTCCCGCCCGCCATTGTCGTTGGCTGCGCCAGGCCCCATCGCCGCCTTTGTCGCGCCAGCGTCTCGCGCCCACGAGTAGAGCCACCGGCTCTTGCGGGAGCGTGCACAGCAGTGTCGCACCCGCTCGGAGCGATGCTCGGTACTCAGGCGCCTCCCAGCTGCCGAAGCCGCGCGTCGAGAGCGTTAACCTTGCTCAGCGCCACCTCGTGCACGCGCAGCGTGTTCTTGTCGACGGATTCCTGCCTCGTCTGCAGCCGGTCGAGCTGCGGGCGGGCGGGCGGGGAGCGGCGTCAGGCCGGCACCGGCCAGGGCGAGAGCCGTGCGAAACTGTTCGCGCCTGGCGGCGGAGGCCGGCAGACTCCGCGCGGAGCTTCTCGACGCGCGCCCGCTCCTCGTTCAGCTCCTCCTCCAAATCCATCCTTGGCTGTCTTGCCCTGGGCGAGGTTGCGGCGCCTTCCACGCGGCGATTAAAGAATTTTACTATACAAGAATTAATTCGACCTTATTGAATTCAATAATATTATTTTTTCTTTAAGGTTTACGCGGTAGGAAGGCCTCTCGGGGCAAAGAAACATCACCCCACCACCTCCCTACCTCCCACAGGCAAACCTTGAGCGGGCTTTCAAAGGTGTCGCGTGCCCGACTGCCGCCTCACGCTCGCCTCCTCTCCTCGCCGCGCCGCATCCTCGCCCAACACTGACCGCGCTGCGGCAGTCGGGCAGGCGTTTAAGCGACGACGAGCTTCGGCCGTGAAGAGAGGCTCGCGCCTCTGAGTGCGGAATTCCGCACATCATCGGGCGACGGCCCATCCCTAGTGAGGCCCGCATAGTATGTGGGAGACTCGTGCCGCCGCCCCTGCCACCCCTGTGTCAGTGTGCCTGTGGTAGGAGAGACTGCCAGCGACAAGCTGGAGGCAGGTCGCTAGACTGAAGAAATTCAATTCTTCAAGTGCAGCTCTGCAGCAGCATCGCTCAGCATGTTGCTGTGTGCTGCACGCCCTGCGAGCGGGGCGGGGTGCGCACTGACCCTCTGTGTTCGTGTGCGTCGCCCATCTCTCTCCCTGGAGATCACTGCTCTATTTATTTATTTATCGCTCAGCATGCTTGCTTTCGTGTCGCTTGCGCTTCTTGCCCGCTGCAGCCCACTTGTTGCGGGCTTGCCGGTATGCTCGCTCTTGACCGTCTCCGAGGTGAGCGAACGAAGTCCTCACGGCAAGGAGCCGGAGGGCCATCGTTGCCGCAGGTCTGGCCGCCGTCGAGGGCGCCACCACCGCTGCCGCCGCACGTGAGCCTGTTGTCGCTGCGCGGCCTGGGCCATCTGGAACGACCAGCAGTCGAGCGAAGCGCGCTGCGGACATACCGAAAGGACATTCCGCGTGGTTGACTAGCGGGCTTAGGCTGTACGAGGTTTTCCTCTCGCACCCCGTCCGTTTTCCTTTCCTTTTTTCTCTACAGCACCCTCTCTTTTCCTCTCTATTTTCCCGGGAAAACTCCGTGGAAATCGTCAAATTTTTGGGCTCTGAGCCGAGTCTGAGGCTGGTTTGGGCCCAAAATCAGCCAAATTTTAGGCCAAACCGTCAAAATGCCGGGAATTTTGCGGAGAACGTGTAGTGTAGACCTGGAAATTACCCTGCGACCGCCTGGGTATTGATTCCTCAATTTTGCCTCAGATTTTGCCCCAGACCAGCTCTCAGACTCAGGGAAACTCGCGAGTTTCCAGAATGGAGCACCAAACACCCTCTGGTTTTCTCTGGAAATTTCCGGAAACGCAAAGTGCTGGGGACCCTCTGTTTTCCTTTTTGTTTGCCGGAAAACCTCGTACAGGCCAACTAGCGGCCCGATTTGCAGCCTCCTTTCGCTGGCGCTGCTCGCGCCGCGGCCTCCGCCGCACGCTCGGGGCGCTGTGACCCTACTGTGTGAAGAGAGCATTGCTAGAAATCGTACCAAACTCTGTCGAGCGGGAGCTCGGTCAGGGGTCGTAAAGAGATGTAGGACCTTCCTTAGGTCCGCCTCTCACACCATCACTGTCTGTGCGATGTGAGCTTCTTGTTTCTTATCAACCTATCTGTGAATACGTTTTCCACGTATTCAAAATGACCTCCCAGAGGCCTGTATTCTGCCGTATTCCACCCGTATTCCACGTATTCCATGGAATACGCCGTATTCCAAGCTCCAAAAATGGAGTATTCCGTATAAAATTTTCTTCGCTCCGCGAATTCACACAGTACTCGAGTAGGGCTAGAAAGAATTAAAGAAACTCAGTTTGCATCCTGCCCTGCATCTGACGAACTTGCGCGCAAACGACGCCGAGACATCGGCTAGCCCCGTCCACCCAGTCCACCCAGCCCGTCCACCCAGCCATGCGCGGCTTTTTCAGCGCCATCGTGCTCCTGCTGCCAGCGGTCCACTCGCTCGCCACGCCAGGCGATCGCGGCAGGAAGCTGCCTCTTCGGACTTTTGCGAGGCAGGCGCTGCTGGCACAGGAGCGGCTGCTTGCGTTCGAGAGACAGAGGCTAGCGAACTCGAGAAGTGTCTTGGACCTGTCCGCCTCAGCCTCCCCGTTCGCACTTTCGATGAATTTCAAGCCCTTTGCGGAGGGTGGCGACCGCCTCCAGCTTCAGGTCCCGCGTCTCGCTGATGCGAGCGTTTTTGTGACTGAGGCCGTCGCCAAAGGGCTTCGCGTGTCGATGGTCACCGGCCCGGAGAGCACCCGCGTGCTTGTCAAGGGGAGCCGAAGAACTCTGGAGGCGTTCGCCCGAAGCGTCCGAGAGAAAAGCTCGCTCGTCACGGTGACCTGGGACGGCACCGCGATGCCATAAGGCAAAGAGCGCTGAGCGGCGGTCCTCAGGCCTCAGGGACACAGGGAGGGTGCGCCGGCGCGCCAATGTATAGTGTACGCTCGCTCCGTGGTGTGTTGTTGTTGTGGGGTGTTGTTATTTGTACTCTTTCTTTGTCCACAGTAAGACGCACTGAAGTTCAATTTATTGAGATGACAGCCGTGTCTTCAGGTAAGGCCTCGCACTCCCCACCACCGCGTCCACTCTCGCTCGGGAGCGGCGCGGTGCGTGGAGAGAGCCTTTAGCATGTGACCTCCGTGGCCGCCGTCTAGGTGGGGCGCTACATGTCGTGAGCGGGCTGGCTCCGCGGCGGCGCGGTGCAGCTCCAAAGCGCCTTGGCCGAGCTTGAGACCGAGGAGCCAACCTAGGGGGGGTGGGGGAGGTCCGGCGCAGGGGCTAGCAGCCGAGGGGCGATCGCGGCTCCCGAGCAGTCTCTCCGAATCTCGCGACTGGTGGTGCGGCCGGCCAGGCGGTGGCTCGCACCGACTTGAGCACCGCAGAGATGCCCGAGGGCGGCATCACCCTGGTGGGGCCTGCAGCGAGGGGCGGTGTGCGTGAGTTGAGCCGTCCACGCGCATGATCTGGGCAGATCTCGGCAGATCTCGGCTCATCTCGGCGGGTGTCACCGGCGGCGAGGATGTGCGCCAGGAACTCCTTGAGGATGGCGAGGAAGGCGTCGCGGTGCCTGAGAGGCGGGGCGCACTGGTCAAGGCGGGGAGGGGGGCGGGGAGGGCGGCGGGGAGGCGGGTCTTTGCGCCGCGACTCGATGTCGTTGTGCGAGCCGCCAGTGATCCAGCCGGGCGGGAGGGGGTGGTGCGCGCGGCAGACGGCGTACAGGTCCTGCGCATTCGAAAAGGGGATCGTCTCGTCGCAGTCGCCGTGCACCTGGCAGAGAAAGCAGGTGGAGAAGGGGAGGAGGAGGAGGTGAGAGGCGAGGGAGGAGGTGAGAGGGCGGCGGCTGCGCACTGCGCCGCGTGGCAGCGGCGGGGCGGGGGTGTGGGAGAGCGGGTGCGGGAGAGGCTCGCCAGCTGTGTGGGGGACTTGCAGGACGCGAGGCTGCCGAGGTTGTTGAAGAACTGGGCGTCGAGTGCCCAGACCCGCGTCTCCGGGAAGAGGACGCGCGCGCCAGAGGCGAGGCCTTGGGGGGGGGGGAGGGGTGGCGAGGGGAGGAGGAGGGGTGGCGAGGCCTCGCGCGCATGTCAACGGACACGTCACGGCGTGTCGATGCCGCGAATGTCGCGGACACGTCGCGGACATGTCGCGGACACGTCGCGGACATGTCAGGGGCGGGCGAGGGGCGGGCGAGCGAGGGGTGGGCGAGCGCACCGGAGCAGACGACCACGCCGCGGAAGGCGTGCTTGCCGGCGAGGTAGCAAGTGGGGCACGAGCCTGGGGGAGAGGGCGGGGCAGGGGTGAGGGTGAGGGTGAGGGTGAGGGTGAGGGTGAGGGTGAGGGTGAGGGTGAGGGTGAGGGTGAGGGTGAGGGTGAGGGTGAGGGTGGTGGGCGAGGGAGGCAGGCGGTGGCACGAGCCAAGAGACTTCCCGAAGACGACGATGTCGCGCTCTGGCTTGAGCCCGAAGCCGTCGACGAGAATCTTCAGCGCCGCGCGCGCGTCCGAGTACAGGTTCGCCTCGCACGGGCTGCGCACCGCAGCAGGGGAGGGGCCGTCAGCTGCCTGCTGGCTGTCAGCTGCCTGCCGGCTGCCTGAACAACCCATGGGCCGAGGCGGCGCCGCTGCTGCAGGGCTGCGGTCCCAGAGGGCTGCGGTCCAGAGGGCGGTGCCGGCAGCGCGGGCACGCAGGGGCGTCTCGCGGGGTGCAACAGCTGAGGGACCCAGGTCCCGGCGCGCTGTGCGGGAGGCGTCTCTTTCGGGCGAAGCCTCTCGGACTCCAAAAGGCACCTGCCCGTCGCGTGCCCGTAGCCGGAGTACTCGTAGGCGAAGACGTCCACCTGAAGCTGCTGCGACATGTAGGCCCAGTACTGCAGCACCAGGCCCAAGTCCTCCGCGTTGGCGTGCGACACCAGCACCGTCAGCGGGAAGCCACGCCGGATGTGGAAGGCAGGGATCCGGTTGCCGCGGTCAGTGTCGAGCCACATGTTGACGTCCTCCTTACGGTAGGTAGGGTTCGGTGGGCAGAAGGCCATCTGATTAACGTGCTTCGCCGCCATGGCGCCCATGGCGGCGGAGAGGGCTGCGGCGGAGGGGGCTGCGGCTGCTCCTGCGGCGGAGGGGCTGCCCAGGCCGACCCTCACCGCGGTCGCCAAAGAAAGAAAACCGCGGCGTCCGCGAAGAGTGGGCGCGCCACCCAAGAGCCTAGGTAGGTGCGGATCGGCAACGCGCAAGGATCTGTTTGCCTTATTATATCATCCTTGGGTTGTGATCTAAGAACCTTAAAGCAACCACGCACCAGGGGGCGCACAGCAGCACGGATGCCCTTGCTGTCTATAAATATATACGCGCGACCTCCCGCGAGCGCGGCGGGATCGGAATTGCGGCCGGAGGGAAGGGCGAGCCGCCGCCGCCGCCGCCATACCATCAGCGACGACGACCGCGGCTCGCCCCAAACGACAGGCGCTGGATCGGCAGTAGGGCTTGGGCGGCGCAGCGTAGGCCTCGAGCCACACGAATCGCCGACAACCCCCCCTCATCGACGTGATGGCCGCACCCGCTGCCGGCCGATGCAAGCTGCCGCCTCCACCGCACCAGCGACACTAGACCGCGGCTCGCCGCCACGCGCCGGCTCGGAAGAGGGGCTGTCGGCAGCGCAGCAGAGCGGCACGCCTCGTCATTCGAGCAGCACCAGCCCCCCTCTTCGACGTGACGGCCGCTCTCGGAGCCGGCCGGTGCGCGCCCGACCCACGCCCCCCCTCGCACCCCCCGACCCCCCTGCGCGGCGCCCCCTTCCACTGCGCGCCGGCTCGAGCGCCTATTGCCAAATCGCGACTTTCGAGCGCAGTGCGTGCGCCCCACACGTCACGCGCGCGCAGGACCAGGAGAGCTTGCGGCAGAGCAGTACCGTATACTCGCCGGAGGCATCGCGCCGAAAACCCCGCGCATGCCACCCCAACAGAGGCTGCAGGAGGCAGATGGCCAATAGCGACAATCGTTACGAAATGTTGCCTTACCGGGAGCTCTGCAAGCTGTCTTGGGTGGTAGAACACCAGCGTGACGGCGCACCCCCCCTAGGGGCAGGGCTCTCTAGCCCGTAGCCCGATGCCAATCATCCGGCCCGCTGGGTGCGCTTCTCAGCTCCCCGGCCCTGGATGTGCGGTTACCGACTGCACTCCAAGCAAGTGCTCCAAGTGCGGCCCCTGTGTGGTGGCGGCGTGCCGTCCCTCCCTTGGAGTGTCTGTTTTCTTTCTTTACTCGTGGTGTACCTGTGTTAGTGCCAGTGCGAGCCAGTCCCGTGCCCAGTCCTGTGCCCAGTGTCGTGCGAGGAGTTTTGTTGTAAAATTTCTTTCTTTACTCCCCAAGCGCGGTCAGGCTGGGCACGAGCCGCGGGCGGCGCGCAGACCGGCGCGGCGGACGCGGCCGCGGCGGCGGCGGCGGCGAGGTCAAGAGCACCAAGAAGGACTGGGCGAGTATCGCTCGCGGACCCGCCCGCTCCCCCTACGACGGCGCTCGGCGGCCCACGCCTCGAGTCGAACGAGGCCTCGCTCTACGATGGGAGCGACGAGGAGTTCTAGGAGCGGCCGCCGAGCCCTTCCCGCAGCGCAACCCTAGCAGCGCAGCGGGCAGGGCGGCTCGCGCAGCGCGCGCGATCGCGCAAGCGGCGCGCGCGAGCGAGCGAGCGAGCACACACACACACGCACGCACGCACGCACGCACGCACGCACGCACGCATGCACGCACGCACGCACGCACGCACGCACGCACGCACGCACGCACGCACGCACGCACGCACGCACGCACGCACACGTCCCAACTCCCCAGAAATCCCGAGGAGCCGTGCAGTGCCTAGATAAGTCTGTGTGCTGTGTGGTGGACGCCCTCCGAGCGGGGCGGGGTCTGCCCGCGTCGGGTTGCTGCCCTAATCCCACCAGGGGTTGTCTGCTCTATTTATTTATTTGTACCATACCCCCTCTTGTGTTTGGCGGTTGTCGCACTCGCCGGGGGTGAAGCGAAAAAAGCGTCTTGGTGTATGGTGAGGGCTTTTGTGGGGACCCTGCTCCCTGGAGCCTGGTGCTGGTCTCCGTTCTTCGTCTTCTGACAACATTGTGATATTCGAATCCTAGCTCTCTACGATTCTCAAAGAATGCGCACCACCGGCGCGGACCCCTGCGTGTGACAGTGGCACAGCAGTCAGCACACGGTGCCGGACAACTCTCGCCGATGGGGTCTCACGACCCTCCGACCTCGCTGCCGGCCGCCGGCGCGCACCCGTGCTCGTCCGCGTCGTACTCCTTGCGGCCGACGTTGTGCGGCTTGACGCTCGACAGCCTACAGCAGCCAGCCACCGCGTGAGGCGCCCCACGCCGCGCAGAGACAGGCACTCTGCAGCACGGGAGCCTGTTCGGGTCCGGCTGGCCGGGCGGCGCGCCCTGGGTGGCGGCGAGGTCGGCGAGACTCGTCACCGGCGGGCGGCGGCGGGGCGCGGTGGAGCATGGCTCGCCTGCCGTGTGCATTAGCTCACGGTGTTAACACAGCGCACCGCAGCTGCATCGATGCGGGAGTGGGACCGCCTGTCTGCAGGAGTGGTGCCTGTCTGCAGGAGTGGTGCCTGTCTGTCCGCCCGTGAGTGCAGACCAGCGTGGAGCGCGTGCGCTCTCGAGCGGTGCAGCGCCGGTGCTTGTGGCCGGCTGTGTCTGTCAGCTCGCGCATCTAGAAGGAGGCGGACAGCAGAAGCCGCCCGTGCGAGGGAGGCAGTGCTCGCACACGAGGTGGAGCTTGTTGCAGTCGATGTTTCCGCAGTTGACGAAGGCCTGCGGGCGGGGGCGGGGGCGGGCGGATGCGGGTGCGGGCGGGTGCGGGTGCGGTGCGGGTGGGTCGCGGCCGGTGCGGCGGTCGGGTCGGGGCGGCGGCGGGCTGCGCTGCCTCGGTCGGGGCTCCGCAGTGGACGCACTGTCCGACCACCTCGGACGAGGCGCCCCCGAGCGGCACCTGCGAGGTGTCCAGGACGTGTCGAGGGGCGTGCACAGGGGGCGTGCACAGCGGCGTGCACAAGCGGCTGCATCTCGGCTGCACCCTGTTCCGGCGATGGAATCTCCCGGCTACACCTCGGCTGGACTCGGCTTGTCTCTCGGCTGCACCGTGTTCCGGCGGTCGAAGACGAAGAGCGAGCCCTTCCAGCGGGGCGGCGCCTCCTCCGCCGCCGCGTGGGCGTTGCCGTAGTGCTGCACGCCGCCCTGCAGCTTGTACACCTTCTCGAAGCCCGCCGCGCGCAGCCGTGCGCCAAAGTACTCGCATCGGATCCCGCCCGTGCAGTACATCATCACCTGCTCTTGTTCTCATCACTTGTGAGTCTCACCGTCGGTGTGGCGGTGGTCCCGCGCAGCCCCTCCCGCACCGGCGTCTCGGCGCGCTCCTCAGGGTCGGAGGGAAGGCCGTACGCCTGGAGGGCGGCGCAGAGGCGGCGCAGGTCAGCCGGAGGGCAAGCGACAGAGGGTCCCGAGTCGGAGAGGCGGCAGCGAGCTCGAGCAGCGTGCGCCTCCTCGTCCGACTGCGCGAAGGTGTCCGGCGACGGGCGCGCCGCGCCTGCCCGCCGAGGAGGAGGTGCAGCCGAGATGCAGCCGAGGTGCGGCCGAGGTGCGGCCGAGGTGCGGCCGAGGTGCGGCCGAGGTGCGGCCGAGGTGCGGCCGAGGTGCGGCCGAGGTGCGGCCGAGGTGCGGCCGAGGTGCGGCCGAGGTGCGGCCGCGCCGTCGAATCGTCCGACGTCCCACTCGTACCCGTTCCGCACGTCCAGCACGATGGGAGCACCGCCGCCTCCGCCCTCCTCTCCGCCGCCGTCTGCCTTAGCGAGCAGCTCCTCCCACTCGGCCGGGCTGACGTCCCTCCCGCGGTCCTAGTCAGAACCAGTGCTGTCACTCCCTCTCGTAGAGGGGACGGTGTGCACGGCTGACGTCCCTCCCTCGCTCCTGCAGGGACGCCACTCTGCCCGAGGCGCCGCCGCCGAGCAGCTCGCCGCTCGGCACGAGGCTGCGGTGCTTCACGCGCAGGCGAGGGAAGGCGAGCTCGTCGCACGGGTCCTCCTTGAAGAGGATGGGCTCGGGCGCGGCGCCCGGCCCGAGCTGGTCGTGGCAGTACGCGCGGTATTCGGCGCACTGCTCTGCGGCGCCCGAGACCTGCGCGTTGATGCCGTCTTCGCAGAGGTAGACGCGGCCAACCATCCCTCGCTTTGTGAGGAAGGCGCGGTGCGACTCAACCGCCTCGTCCGGCTGGGCGATGGGCGAGATGGCGTAAAAGGCGAGCGCGCGGTACGGCAGCGTCGCGTCCAGCTTTGGGTTGATGGAGAGGACGGGAGCCGGGACGGGCACGGCCGCTCGGATGGCGGCTGCAGCCGTGACGAAGCGGAGACTGGCGCAGCCGGTGCCAGGCAGCCTTCGCGCGGCGCCAAACTGGCACGACAGCAGCAGAGCTAGCTGTCGCACAGGAGGACGCAGCAACATTCAGGCCTGCCCGATCCCAACAGTTATTGAGCTGAGCGCGCTCTCCATGGCAGAGGCAGCCTTCAGCGGCGAAAAGAATTTTGTTAGGGGTCGCGAAAAGAAATCAAAACGGCATGGTACGGGACCCCTCGATCGTCTCGCCCTCCCTCGCTGGTGTGCTCATCGGGGGGGGGGGGGGGGGCATAACAAACACGGTCAGGATCGAGGTGCACGCCGCTGAGGGACCCCTGAGGGTAGATCGAGCGGTGTCGTCCCCCCTCTCCATCATCTCACTGGGAGACGTCGACGGTGGTGGTTGACGGCCGCTTTTTTAGATAGCAAAAATAGAACCCGGGGCCAAGACGCACAAGACAGACAGTCGCGAAGGGAGAGACAGCAACGACAGTCAGAAGTGAGTGAGTGAGCATTCGAGAGAGAGCCAACACACTGGTCGCTGCGAGCCTGTCACTGTCCCTTGTCAGGAGCAGGAGAACCCCCTGTGCCCCTGATCGTCCTTCCAAAATTCTGCTCTTGCAGGTGGGGACCCTGTCCTCCTCCCATCCATCGTTTGCGCTGTGTGTTTTCTTTCTTTCTTTCTGCGCACCACACTGGCACTAACCACTAACCAGGTACACCGCAAGAGGAATTTGTTTCGCCAAAAGAATTGTGATTCGAAATCCACGTGATCGTCTTAACTCCGCGCTTCTTTCCTCAGTCCCGTGCCAGTGTTGTGAAAGGGCGTTTTCTCGTAAAATTCTTTCTCCGGGGCGGGGTGGGGGTCCTGAAAAGCCGAAATCTAACGGTTTTTTACGTGGCCGGCGGGACGCGCGCAGACGACGCTCGCTGCGCCTGCGGCAGCAGGAGGGAGGGGCGCCGGCGGCGGCGAGGGAGGGTGGTGGGCCGTGGGCCGGTGGCGCGGAGGCGAGGAGACGCTGTCGCTCACGCTGACCCGTGACGGCAGCCCTTTGATCCGCCAACTTTTCTTCATATCTGGGGCCTCCGGCGCCAGTGCGAAGTCTAGTCGCCTACGGGCACGCCCTCCGGGCATACTCCGAACTCCCACACGACAACACACGCGCGGCCGGCGCCTCTCATGCCCTTCTCCACGCACACCGCGTGAAAACTGCGCGTACGTCCCCGCGCGCACGCAAACACGCGTAGCGCCCAGAAGCCTGTGTCTCATGTGCGTCTGCCCTGTGCTGGCGCCCCATGGCCGTCCCGCGCCGCCCGCACCAGCCACGCGCCCCTCGCACCACCAGAGCAAGCCGCATATCCACCCACGCCGCGACGCGCGCGCCGCAGCACACCTCACCAGCACACCTGCGCCTTTTTGCGCCCTGTGCAGGCTCTGCAGACTGCTTCTGGCATCCCACAAGCGGCTGTACTAGGACGCGCCGCGAGTGCGACGGCACCGCGCAGGCCCAGGCGCGCACGCACGCCCGCACGCGCGCTCGCTCATCCGCCCAGTCTGCTGTGCACAGCCTGTCAGCCTGCCTGCACACACAGCATACAGCACCATGTGCACGCATACGCTTAGACGCAGCCCGCACCCCACAATAGCCTGCCTCAAGCCTCACCACGCCGTCTCGCGCACACCGCCAGCAGCCCGATCAGAGAAACTGCAGCGCGCGCCTCTGCACGCCTGCAGCTTCTCTGCATTCTGAGACCTTCTCAATCCACCCCGCCGCCGCGCCTCCCCGGGCACACACCGCAGCAGTGAATATGTGAGTCGAAGTATGGGATATCGACCGAGCCCGCGCCTGCCGCACACGTTTCCGTTTTTTACTGCCATAAGCATAAAAAGAAAAAACACCATTAACAAACAGCGACGACCAGCAGCAACGACCTTTACAGCAGCGTCCTGCCGAGTGTGTGTAGCACCGACGCAGACGCACCCCAGGCACTACACTACGACGGCTAGGCAGACCTCACCAGTCCGATAAGGATCAACTGGAAGGTTGAACCTCGAGCTTAGACAGAACGGGCGCGACAGACTCCAGGGGAGATCGCGCTCTACTCGGGGCACCAAGGAGGAAAACCGAAACCGTTTGGGTGCCCAACAAAAACCCAAACGCCACAGCCTAAAAGTCACACCTCCCCCCCACGTCCCCCCCCCCTTGGGGACGTAGCGCACGCCCTTACTCGGAGAGAGTGGGGGGGGAGGGGGGGTGGGGGAATAGGAGGAGCCAACGAGCGCGGAGTAAGGTCCACAGTAGAGAGACAGGCATTTAAGGCGTAACTTCACCCTCGCTCACCTTGAGTATATCTAGGCGCCCTGGTGCAGTCGGTCTTCGGATCAGCGGCCAGCTTCCCATCTAGGGCAGGGAACCCCCAGCGACGCTAGTGTGGCCTACGGTAGCCTCAGCTTGTACGCGATCCCGGGGCAGGGGGGTGTGGACTCTAGAGCTCCAAGAAAGGATAGGGAGAGGAAGGGAGATTGGTGTGCCGGTTTTTCGCGTTAGCAATTTTTTTTTTCTTTGATCCGCCAAAAGCACCCAACTCTCTCTCTCTCTCTCTCTCCAAGATCCCCACAGTCCACTCAAAAGAAACCCCCTACCCACAAAACAAGAGCAGCGCCCACAAGCCCTCCCACTCACGAGTCGACTCAGCCGCTGTCGGCTGAGAGCAGTGAGCAATAGAGCAAACTCTGCCCAGCCTCTCTCCCTCAGACAGTCTTGCGATGGGCCGATCGTGTACCCGCCACTGCTTCAGCAAGCCACAACCACGTCGTGGCAGCTCATGAGGTACGCCAGCGTCACGGTCGCACCCTCCCCCACCGGCGCCGGAAGCTGTCGGTGGGGCGCCTCGTCCTCCGTCTCCATCTCCTCAGGCCCTCGGTTGCGGAGGGCGTCGCGGGCGGCGCAGCTCCCGAGCTCGCCGAGGGCCTTGAGCAGGCGCCGGCGAGGGCACGCGGAGCGGGCGACGGCCTCGAGGTCTGCCTCGCAATCGGCCTCGAGTCGCGCCACCAGAGACGCGACGACGTGCCTACACGCCCCTTGCAGTCTCGGGTGACCTCGGGCAACCTCGAGAGTCACATGCCCCACGCACGCGGCGACACGCCTCTTGTCCGAGGCGAGCCTGCCGCTCCACGCCGGCCGGCCCCCGAGGAGGGCGCTCCAGGCCGTGCAGGCCGCGGGAGGCAAGCGGGGCCCGGTCGATGCGGGTGCGGGCAGGCCGTAGTGCGGCGGCGGCGGCGGCGGCGGCGGCGGCGGCGGCGGCAGCTCCGCGACGAACTTTTCAAGGAGAAGGAGGACCCACGGGTGGCTTGCGATCTGCGCGAGGGGCGCGCGGTCCGGACGGCGCTGCAGCGCGAGCAGGAAACACGCCAGCCCCGCCTGGGCGGGCCCATGCACCGCGACCAGCCCGCTGCACACGACCGCCTGGACCCTCGGAGCGTCTGCCGGCTGCCACAACGCCCCGGGCGGCGACGCATCGTGAGGTGAGGGCGTGCAGAGCTGGACGAGGAGACCGGCGAGGCGGAGGAGCAGCGCGGCGCGCGGCGTGTCGACCGCCTGCGGGGGGTGTTGGTGGAGCGGGCGCTAGCGAAGGTGCGGCGCTGGAGCCAGGCAGAGAGGGGTGAGTGGTGGCCCGCGCGCCTCGACTGGGATCGCCGAAAAGACTCGAGGGACCGACAGGCCGCACGTGACGAGGACGGCGGCGGGGCTCGCCTGCCGGTCCGCGAGTCCCCTCGCCTGGTCTGCGCGCAGCAGCTGGACGAGGACCCCCAGGGCGCACAGCTGCATCTCCTCCTCGTCGGAGGCTGACTCGGGGGTCGAGCGACGGCTGCCCCCACCGGAGCGGTCCGGCGTAGCAAGCGCAGCGACCTGCGCGAGCAAATCGCGGTCGGCGACCAGCGCTGAGACCACGTCGGGCACCGCCATCGCGCCGCCGCCGCCAACAGCGCAGTCGGCCACGTCGAGGGAAGAGTCGAGAGAGATCGCGAGCGAGACGTTGAGGAGGTTGAGGAGCTCCCGCCGGGCCGCGCCGTCGGCCGCGCTGCCAGGGCGGGCGTCGGGCCACGCCGTCGAAGGCGACGCGTTGGCGACGGGCTCCGGTCCGCACCCCATGCCGCACCCTATGCCGCACCCTATGCCGCCGCACCCAGGCTCTGCCGGGCCGGGGCGCAGCACCGAGTGAGCGCGCCGGAGTACGTTGTGAAAGCCCTGCCGCATTTGCAGGTGAAACTCGCGCCTGCTCTGGTCGCGCCCCGCAGAGTCCTCGGTCGAAGCGATGGAAGAGGCGAGCAAGCGGAAGACGAGGGCGAGGGCGGCGCCGTCCACGTCGGGGTGCAGGCAGAGCCGGCTGAGCGCCGGAGCGAGTCCAGCGGCGACGAGCATTGGGAAGATGCCCGGGTCGTCGGCACTGCGCGGCGGATTGTGGGGCGGCGGCACCAGCACGCGAGAGAGGAGGCGCAGCACGGCGAGAACAGCGTCGTCGCCGGCCTCGCGCGCCGCTTGCAGGTTGGTCGACAGGAGCGAGACGAGGAGGTGTGCCCCTACCTCGCCGCTCTCGCGGACGCCCTTGACCAAGTTGCGCCGGACTGACTCGCCTCCGGCCATCGACGCGCGCGTTGTCGTCTCGGAGTAGCACCCTCTCGCCCACGCCAGCAGCATTCGCCACGTCTGCTCGCCCGCACCGGCCCCTCCGGCGGAGGAGAAAGCCCGCTCGGTTGGGGTGGCGGCAGCGCCCCACGGCACGATCGATGTTGGCGATGGCGCGCCCGAGAGCAGCCACGCCACGCACTCTGCGTCCTGAAGTAGCGCGGCAGGGCTGCACTCGAGAAGCGCCAGCTGAAGGCAGTGGCAAGCCGCCTCACCGCTGTGGTGTAGCGCTTGCTGCGGCGAGTGAGTCGGGTGCAGCGGCGCCAAGCACGCGCGCGCGAGGCGCAGCAGCGTCGCGACGGGGAGGCTGGCGTGCAGCGAGCCGCGCGGGACGGCGTGAAGGGCGAGCAGGATCTCCTCGATCTGGAGCTGCGCCTCGGGGTCGTGCGTGCTCCCCTCGACCTGTGCCCAAGGCGGCGCGCCTTCCTCGTGCTGGCCGCCGCGGGCAACCTCGAGGAGCAGGAGGAGGAGCTCGAGGGAGTACAGCGGGACCTACAAGCACGGCGCTCCGTCTCACCAGCCGATACAGGACAGGGCGCGGCTTTAGAGGCGCGGCGAGCCTCGTCGGTGGCGGCGCGCACGCGAGCGACGCAAGAGTGCAGGCCCGTGCAAGGCAACGTGAGCTCGACCCCGCCCGGCTGCCCGCCCGGCGGCTCGACGCGCTCGAGGGCGCCGAGCAGGGCAATGGCCAGGCGGGCGCTCGACTCGGCGGCGTCCTGGCGCGAGGAGAGGTCGAGCAGCCAGAGGCAGTCTCGCGTGTGCGCGTGGGCGAGGGCTCGCCGCTCGCCGCCCTCGAGCGAGCTGCCGCAGAGCATCGCCGCGAGCAGCTCGCAGGTGGAGGGGAGGAGCTGGGCGAGGGCGGCTGGCTCCTCCAACTGGTGCAGCGCGCCGAGCGAGCGCGGCACGAGGAGCGCGCACAAGTGGCAAAGGGCGGGGGCGTGCGCTGGGGAGGACCCTCTCGCCACGGCGGCGGCGAGCCTGCCCATCCCCGCCAGCGCGAGCGACGCGTGCGCCGCATCGGCGACGCCCGCGTCGATGCAGTCCCCGAGCAGGCCCGCACCGGCCTGGCAAAAGTCGAGGCAGGTCGGGATCTCGGAGGGGTGCGGCGAGTACCACTCGAGCAGCGCGACGGCGCAGCGGAGGCTCGCGTCCAGCTGGCGCAGGCAGCGGAGCTTGTCGGCCCAGCGGACGGCTACCGACGGGTGGAGCGCCTCGAGCAGCCGGGCGAGGAGCGAGTTGCAGCGAGGGTGCGGTGTGTGCAAGAGCTCGCCGAGCAGCGCCACGCACTGCTCCCGCAGGTGCTCCAGCTGATCCACCGTGGCGGACGGCGCGACACCGGCTGAGTCGACCGCCTGGTCCGTGCCCTGCCCAATGGGCCGGCACGCCTCGAGCAGGAAGGGGACGGTGTCCTCAGTGCAGAGGGCGCGCGTGCACCCCTGGCTGTGCAGCACCGCCAGCACGTCGACCGCAGCGAGCTGCAGCAGCGGGTCACCAGAGATGAGCGGCGCCTTGAGCGCGTCGAGCGGACGGGGGCGGCAGATTCGGGCGGCGAGCTGCGGGTCGCTCGCCGCGAGGGCGGCGAGCAGCTCGCACATCTGCAGCGAGAGGCTTCTCCGCGGGGGCGCGCTCCCCCGGTGCGGCAAGCGGGCGAGGAGCTCGTCAATGTCGACGCCGCAACGGTGCAGCACGGAGGAGGCGCAGGCGCCGTGCGCCACGATTGTCTGGGCGAGGACTCGGAGCGCGACGCGCTCGAGGCTGTCCGCGTCTCCGAGGATTGCGCCCACGAGCACGTGCGTGATGCGGCTCTGCTCGACGAGGGCGTTGGCCGCGACCGTGGCCGCCTTGCCCTTGAGCAGGAGCAGCAGCATGCAGAGCAGAGGCAGCGCCGCGCCCGGGAGGCTGCCCGCCCCGCCGAGCAGGTCGGAGGCAGACTGGAGCATGCGCAGCTTGGCCTCGGCCACCAGCGACGAGGGCCCGAGCTGCTCCTCATACCGCACCGAGTGGGCGGCCAGCGCCCCGAGCAGAACCTGCGGGGGGAGGGGACACAGAAGACGGTGACAATGGTGTACGTGTACACCACACCGCACAAGGTGGGGGCATGGCGCAGCCGGCGAGCACGGCACGTGCGTAGTAGGGTGGCACATCGCGCGCCTCCAAAAGCTCGGTCACCGCGTCGCTGAGCTCGGAGCCCCCGCTGAAGAGCGCAGGCAGCGCCGCGTCGATGCAGCGGATGAGCAGCGCGGGCTGGCGCAGGTCCTGCTCGCCGGTCGCCAGAGGAGTGGCCGCGTCGATGAGCGCGCGGACGCAGAGGAGGCGGTTGCTCAGTGGGCACACGAGGGAGAGGTCGAGGGCATTCAAGGTGGCGCCGACCCTTTCTGGCGTGAACAGGCCGGGCTCGACTGTGCTCGACCCGCTCATCGCTGCTGTTGGCAAACGCGGCTCCGTCAGCGAGAAAACTCGCAGTGAGGTGTGGACTCGGCGTGAGATGGAGGGGCGGGGGCACGGGCCTTTACTCAAGTTTGGTGGGCTTTCCGTCCGCGAGAGATTGTCGCCGAGCACTCGACCGGTTGTCCGACCGATGGTGACTTTGCGAGCAGCCGCTGTCGGATCGTTTTTTTTTGCTTTGTTGCTATAGGTCGGCCCGCAGCGGCGGTGCCCGGTGCCGAACCTGTCGGACCTTATGTCTCACTGGCTTTAATCCCGGGCGCAAGGCCGGAGGGGGTCGGATCTCCGCGCCGGGGGGGGGGTGTTGTGTGTGCGCATGGATTTTGTTTGAGAAGGGTGTGTGCGCACGCTTCAGAACAAACAAAGGTATTGCTAAAAATCGAAATCTCTCACGCTTCAGCCATGGCTTCAAAAACTCTCTCTCTCTCTCTCTCTCTCTCTCTCTCTCTCTCTCTCTCTCTCTCTCTCTCTCTCTCTCTCTCTCTCTCTCTCTCTCTCTCTCTCTCTCTCTCTCTCTCTCTCTCTGGCTTCAGCAATCCACTCTGGTGTGTGCATGGATCCGAAGCGCCATGGATTGAAAAGGGTGTGACGTCTTTCGACAGCCTCAACGAGATCGTACTACACACAACCATGGAGAGAAACACGGCACGACTACGTCAAAAACGGGTGGTGGTGGTGTGGCAGCAGGCCTCGGACGCGCGCATACCGCTCGAGCTGGCTCGCCTGTTCGTCGAGCCTCCTCATCGTCTCGCTCCCCTTGAGGGGCCGTAGGGACCACGCGCGGTGTTGGTCCGACGCGAGCACGAGCCCACCGCAGGGCGCCACCCCGCGGCTCTCCACATCCGACTGCGAGCTCCACACGTCAATCACCGGGCTCACCTCTGTCGTGCCGTCAGGCCGGTCCACGAGGGCGAGGGCAAACGCCGCGGAGCGCGTGGCATGCGCGTCCATCGCAGGGTTTCCGACCTTTCCGCTGCTTGTGCATACCTCTGCCTCGGCGGGCATGAGCTGCCGGATGCGCGGACCGCGAAAGAATGCCCGCGGGAGAAAGCCACTCTGCAACGCCCGCTCTGTGCTGCTGCCCCCCCGAGGAGTGTCAAATCGCTCCTCAAAATTGAGAATCATGGCGTCGTCCTCGGCTCCGAGCGAGTGGCGGCTATACTCGGCCGACTCGTCCGTCCGGAGGCCGGGGAGCATGCAGTGGTTTTGCATAGCGCGCGACTTGACACGGTCCAGGAACTTTGTGGCTCCCAGAAAGTCGGCCTAGGAGACGGCTTTTACTGCAGGTGAGCAGTCTCGACAGGGGCCATGCGTTCACAGTGGCCGTGTGTGTGTGTGTGTGTGTGTGTGTGTGTGTGTGTGTGTGTGTGTGTGTGTGTGTGTGTGTGTGTGTGTGTGTGTGTGTGTGTGTGTGTGTGTGTGTGTGCGCGTGCGTGCGTGCGTGCGTGCGTGCGTGTGTGCGTGCGTGTGTCTGTGTTCTGTGTGTGTGTGTTTGTGAAGTGTCCTATGTGTTTGCGTCTCTGCGAGTAATGCCTCCGCGATGGCTCGTGCCGGTGTGTGTGCCAGTCCGCGCCAGTCCGCGCCCTTGTCGTGCCAGCAGAAAGAAAGAAAGAAAAGAGACAACCCAAGGGAGGGATGTCGTGCCAGCGTGCTGTGAGATGTACGTATGTATGTAGGAAGGTGAAGAACAGCCAGGCTCGGACTGGACACCAACGCGGTATGGGTGGACGCTGGACAGATGATGACGGCACGCACGAGCGACACACAGACACAAACAGGCTCACAAGACACACAGCCAGCTGGCTGCCACACACCCTGAGTCGGCGTACACATAACTCAAGGCCACATCCTCCCTGTCGCCCCCCCCAGCACTCCAAGGTGCCAAAGGAACAAACAAGCGCACAACAAACAACAGACGACAGCAAGTAACATGTGAGACTAGAGCAGGCTTGCTCCGCCTCTAGCAATCTCGCCGCCCGGCGAGGCACGGACGAGACCGTGTGTGGGGTCTAGTGAGGTGTCTATGGACGCCCTCCTCAGAGGCTAGCGGCCAGCCGCTAGCCCTATCTGCTATCTCGCACTCACGGGCAGTGACAATTCAATGTGTGAGTGTTTGCGAGCAGAGGCGCGTGGGCTAATTCTAGGCCGCACGTCGTGGCACTATGACGGAGGTAGACGTGCGGCCGCAGCGCGCCCGCCGCAGGCTCGGCGGTGCGCGCGTGTTAGCGAGAAAGTTGCGGGTAGAGCCATGCCCGACTTTTCGAAGGCGAGCCCCACCCCACGGATGCCGGCCGTAAAGAAAGAAAGAAAACAGACAACCCAAGGGAGGGATGGGAGGACGGCACGCCGCCACCACACAGGGATTTTAAGGCGAGGTGTGTGGTGCGCTAGCCGTCGCCCACCCTAGGGAGTCTGCCTCTTCCTATCTCTCTTCGCAGCATCCGTGCCTTGTTAGAAACCCAGGCGAGAATTCTTTTTGCGAGCGCACCTGCTGCGATCGACTCCTCGCGCAGCACCACCGCCAATATGGCCCTGCTCGTGCTGCTATGGCCGTGTACGGCGATCATCGGCTGCTCGTCGCCTGGCTGCGCGCTGCTCGCGAGCGCTGTAGGAACGCTACGCTCTGCGGCAGGAACGCCTTGCTCTGCGGCAGGAACGCCTCGCTCTGTGATCACCCTTTCCGCAGAGCCGCCTTCGCTGCGTCCCTTTCTCGACAGGCTGCTCGCGTGCAGCAGTGAGGAGGATAGGAAGGCGAGCATGGTCACAGAGGTGAACCAGTGGTGGACGAGCGGCCCCGACGTCGCCCAGGCCAATGCCGATGAGCTGACTCGGCTCATGTCAGCACGCGGGACACGCATCCAGACCAGTGCGATCGCGGCCTACGAGCGGGGCGAGGACACTTCTGAGGCATCTTCCGTGCTTCAGACGCTGGTCGATATGACGTTCCATGTCAAAATTATTGTGCGTGACCTGAAGAAGGCCGCTGCGGCGGGCGACATCTAGCGAGGTGAAGCGATCGTGGCCAGTATGTGCGCTGCTCCATTGTCGAGTTTGCGCGAACGGCTTCGGTACGTTACGCGTCTACTTTTCTACGTCCTTAGTGTAGCTTTGTAGCCACGTACAGCACGCAGCTCAGGCATGCGGCGAGTGCGCGACACCCGCGACAGGGTCCGCAACCGCTGTAACACGCGGCGGGGGGCGGTCGCGGAGACCGCGAAACTCGTAAGGACACCGCCGCCCGCTGGGCCTGGCCCTGGGGCACCGCACTCAGTCTCGCAGACTGTGTCTACTGTCTGTCTCTCGAGCTTGTCTCTCTGTCACTGTCTCTCTCCGCTGACCCCTCTAGCTCACTAGCTCTCTTCGTTCCACAAAAGATTGATGATTGTTCGGTATTTGTTTCCAGCAAAAGGCAACTACCTTACACGCGACGTACGGCTCTTTAGGGCTATTTTCCCCGATCACACGTTATTCTGAACTCGTCACGGCTCCACAAAGCATTGCGCCAGAACCTCCTCGCACGGCGCGGGCGCCTCGGGTGCCAAAGCGCGCAGCCGACGCAACGCGTTCGCCTATCAGCAAAACCGCGTTTGTGCCGCTCCAGCGAGGGCAATCGTGCGGCGCTGCGCAGCGCGCCAGAGCGATCGCCCTCTCGCGAGCTCTGCGCGCGTGCTCTTGCGCCGTGGCCTGCGCTCAAGGCAGAAGCAAGTGGTCAGCGATCGGCGGTTCAGGAAAGTGGAGCAAGGGCTGTGCTGGGGGCGAAGCGCCACCTTTGAGAGCTTCGCGCCCACCGAGCCCAGGGGCGCAGCCTCTGCCTCCGCCAGCCTGAGAGAGGACAGGCAGGGCAGGCGAGGGGGTTGGAGGCGGAGCGGGCCGGTGCGCCGCCACCGGGTGCCGCGCACCGCTGCAAGACGGGAGCCGTGGCGCTCAGCGAGAGCGAGAGCGAGAGCGAGAGCGACGCGGCGGACGCGGGGGACGCCGCCTGCGCGTCCGCCTCGAGCTGCGCCACGAGCGACGCCGCCTCCTCGCCCGCCACCAGAGGCGACGAGCTTCGCCAGAGGCCGTCGACGAGGAAGAGAGCGTTCTCGCCGCCCTCACACGCGCCAACACACGCACCAGCACCGCCCGCCGCGGCGCCGCCCGGCGCGCCTCTCGCGCGGACGGCGGCGGAGAGAGGCGCGAGCGCGGCGGCGCGCATCGCGGATCGCGTCTCAGCGCGGCAGTGTGCGCCGAGCCAGCCGGCCAGCAGACAGGCGGCCTGGGGCTCTCCGCCGCTGCCCGCCGCCGCGAGCGCTGAGGCTGCGCCCGGCTGGCCGCCGTGCGAGTAGGAGAGAGCGGCCCGCGCGAGCGCGCCGCCGAGCAGGCCGGGCGGCACCGGGGCGGCGGCCAGCTCGAGGCGGGCGGAGAAGAGCGCGCGCTGCGCGGGCGAGGTGAGCTCGAAGCACGCCTCGAGCACGCTCACCGCAGGCCCTGCCTGTGCGGCCGCCAGTCTGCCGAGCGTCGCGCGGAGGAGCTCGGCGGCGAAGCTGCTGGCGGCCTGCTCAGCCTGCTGCGCGGGGCTGGCGGCAGACGGCCGCGGGCGGGCGGCGCAGATCCAGGCAGACTCCGCTTCCGCGACGGCCCCCTGGGCGCGCGCGTGGCTTCCCCCGCCGACTCGACCCTCCCCACTCCCCTCGCCACCGGCGGGAAGAGGTGCGCGTGCCCAGCGAGAGGAGGAGGCGGCGGCGGCGGCAGCGTCCTCCGACCCAAAGGCGGGAGCGGCGTAGCGCGAAAAGTGGCGCGAGCAGCCGTACAGCGCACCGCGCCGCCGCGGCGGCTGTGTCGGCGGTGGCGACGCGTTTGCGTCGATGCCGCCACAGACCGGGGAGCAAGCGGGGCAGCAGAGCGAGAGGAGGGCGAGGCGGGTCGCTGGCGGCGGCCCGTGCGGGTGCGGCGGCAGCGAGAGCAGCAGGGAGAGGACGAACGTGACGCGGCTCGGGTGGTGCTGGTACAGCGGCCGGAAAGTGATTAGTTAATTAGTAGTTAATTAGTAGTTAATTAGTAGTTGCCTGGTACAGCGGCCGGTAAGTGCGCAGCAAATCAGTCGCCAGCTGCAGCGCCTCACCGCCGCCTGCGTCACCTCCGCCGCCGCCCCTTGCGCCGATCAGCGCCGCCTCGATCGCCATGTCGACCGCCGGAAGCAGCCTCCTCGCCGCGCTCGAGTAGACACGCGGCCCCGCCCCCCGGCCCGGCAGCAGCGACGCGGCGGCCTGCGCGGCGTCGTCGTCGAGCGGCCTGATTAATTATCCGAAGTAAGTGTGCTGACAAGTCCTCAGTCGTGAGAGAGACATCGCGTCGAGCTGCCAGAGCGCGGCGGGTGCGTCGGCGTGGCGGAGCGGCTCCGGCGCGAGGGCTTGCGCGAGCCGCCCCATCGCGGCGCGCTGCTCCGTCGGCGGCGGCGGCGAGGGCGCCGGAAGCCTCGCAAAGGGAGCGACGAGACGCGCCACCGCCGGGGCCTCGAGCAGCAGCCGGCGCAAGGCTGCGGCGGCGGAACCCGCGCCGTCGGCCTCCTCGAGGCGGGCGGCGAGGATCGCGACAACGTGCTCCAGTCTCACCAGCTCAAGCGCCGGCCCAAGCGCGCACACCTCTGCGAGAGCATCGGCCCGGCCCGCCGCCCCGCCGGCGCCGCCGCGCAGCACAAAGCTCACGGCGACGTGGGCCGCCGCCGGGAGCTGTGCCGGCGGGAAGCCAGCGCCTCCGCCCAGCTGCCGCGCGCTCGCAACGGCAGCGGGGAGGAGGGTCGCACCCGGCGACTCTGCAAGCTCGGCGATCATCGCGCAGACCGCCGCCGCGTGCAGCAGCAGAGACGGCGGAGGAGCGGCGCCGCCGTCTGGGTCTGGCGGAGGCGGAGGCGGAGGGGCGGTCGCTCGGCCAAAGAGAAAGTCGCGGGCAAGCCGCAGCGCATCGGTGCCGCGGTCGGGCGCGGCAGCGTCCGCGGCGGCGGCGGCCACATCGACGACCATCCGCAGCGCGCTGGTGACGGTGCGGCCGAGCTCTGCGGCCGGCTCCGCCTCGCTGCTGCCGGGCGGGTGGAGGGCGCGCAAGCGGCGCTCGGCGGCGAGGAGGAGGAGGGCGAGCGGCTCGAGCGCGACGGCGGCGGCGACGTTCGCCGCGCGCGCCGCCGGCGGCGCGTTCGAGTCCTGCGCCGCCTTTGCTGCGGGGATGATGGGGCGGAGGAGCGCGGCGAGGCACTGGGGCGACGCTGCTGCGGCGGCGTGCGTGGAGAGGAGATCTTCGGCGGCGCCGTGCGCGGCGGGGCAGCGGCTGCGGGAGAGGGAGGCCGCCGCCAGCTTGAGGAGAAGCTGGCTGTCTCGCTCGGTGCCTAATTAGTAGTTAATTAGTAGTTAATTAGTAGTTAATTAGTAGTTAATTAGAAGCTGACTGTCTCGCTCGATGCCGCTGCGGCAGAGTAGCCAGCGGAGGCGGTACGCGAGCAAGTCGAACAGGGCCGCCTACAGTCGGCCGACGGCGGCGGCTCGCAGGACGGGAGACGTACCGAGCCGCCTCGCGGGGGAGGCTCGCACCAGCGCGTGCGACGTCACCGACCCCGCGGCGGCCGCGGCGGCGGCAGAGCCCGAGGAGGCTGCGTCGGGCGGGCACAAGTCGTACACGCAAGACTTGCCGTGCGGCGAGCCCGAGCCGAGGGTCTGCGGCAGCGTGAGGACGAGCCGCGCGTACGACTCGAGCAGCGAGACGAGGGGCGAGCCGCCCTCGCCCGCAGAGAGCGGCGGGGCGGTGCTGTCTGGAGCGGCGGGCTTGAGCTCCTCCTTGATGGCCGCGGCGAGCGACGCCTCGAGGCGGCGGCGGCAGTAGACGTTGAGGTGCAAGAGCAGCGACAGAGGCAGTGGCCGCCCGCCCGCGCGCAGGCCGTGCAGCAGCAGGTCGACGAGCTGCTGCGTGGTGATGTGCGAGGCGAGGCACGCGCGGCGGACCATCGACGCGGACGCGACCAGCGCCTCCGCAGCCTCGACTGCTCGGCTCGACCCGGGCGGGCGGCGGGAAGAGCCTACTCTCTCACACAATGGCGGCGTCTGGAGGAGAAGGAGGGGGGAGGAGCCGGCGGCCGCCGCCGTCCGAGAGCCGTTTGCGGGGCTGTTCTCCATGCCGCTGCTGCCTCCCCCTCCCCGGGCGCGGCTGGCAGCTGAGCTCGACGCGGCGGCCTCGAAGAGCGGCGCGACGGCCTTGTGTGCGTCCTGGGTGCGGCGGGCGAGGAACGGGGTGCGGCGAGGGGAGGGGGCGGTCTCGCTGGAGCTACGGGTGCGTCAGCGAGGCCATCGTGGGGGCAAGGGGTCGCGTGCATCAGCCTGGGGGAGGTGCGAGAAGGTGCGCGAACACGTGTGCGGCCGGGAGCTGGCGAGGGAGGGGGCACGGTGCAAGCTAGGCGCGCAAGCCTTCAGCGCCCTGTCGCCTGACACCTCGCAAGCTGTCCACGCCGCCGCGTGCGCCTCGATCGCCGCGGCGGGAGCCGGGAAGCGAGTGAGCAGGCAGAGGAGCGCGGCGCCGCGTAGGGTGCTCTCAGACGCGGCGGACGGCCCTCCGACGGCGGGCAGCGGTGCCCACAGGCCGGCGGAGCTGCTGGCTGCGCCGTCGCAGCCGAGACGCAAGGCAGCGGCGGGCAACAGCCGGGCCCCGCGCTCCGCGCCCCCAGTCATCTGCTTGTACAACACCGCGGCGTGCGCCGCGACGAGCAGCAGACCGGGCCCCGCGTCCGCAGGCGGCGGCCACAGCCTCCACTCCCCGCCCTCGCCGCCCTCCCCGCCGACGCCCGCTCCGCCGGCAAGCGGCGCGAGGTTGGCAAGCAGCGCAGCCTCGCGCCGGCGCGCCTCGTGGAGCAGCAAGTGGGAGAGCGCCCCCTCGTGCACCCCGCGGTGCGAGTACAGCAAGTCCAGCGACGCGGGCAGCACCGCCGCCCGGCTCGAGCCAAGCTCCGCCTCTGCCGCCGCAGCGTCGGCGGAAGCGCCTGCGGCGGCGCGCCCGAGCCCGCCGCCGCGAGCGGCTGGCTCCCGCTCTCTGCTGCTGCTCGACGCCCTGCCGTTGGCGACGCCGCAAGCACCGCTGGCCGCGACACTCGCGGTGCCAGCACCCGAGCCGTTGGCCGGGTCGGCGCTGGCCGGATGGGCGCTGGCTCCCGCCCCCTTGGAGGCCCTCTTGGAGGTCTCCTGGGTTTGCTTGGAGGTTTGCTTGGAGGTCTCCTTAGAGCGCTTCCGCTTCACGCCGAGACGCGGAGACGCCTCCGAGGCGGCGGCGGAGGGGGAGGGAGCGGCGGAGGGAGCGAAAGCGGCAGCTGCGACTACGCTCGCCGCCGCCACCCGCGCCGCGGTGTCGGCGGCGGAGGCAGCGTGCTGCGCTGTCGCCAGATGCGCTAGCTGCGCCGCGCACACCGCCGCCTCCCGCGCCTCCTCCTCGAGGGCTGCAGCGGCCGCCGTCGCCGGCGCACGCGATGCGGGGAGGGCGGGCGGAGGCTGCAGCCGCGGCGCGCGCCAGTGGGCGATCTCGGTGGCAGCCAGCTGCACCGCCGTCGCCCAGCCAGGCCCGTTCTGAGCCCTCACCGGCGGGAGGAGGAGCGCCTGGGAGGGAGGGGGGCAAGGGGCGGGGTGAGGCAGCTGGGAGGGAGGGGGGGCAAGGGGCGGGGTGAGGCAGCTGGGAGGGAGGGGGGCAAGGGGCGGGGTGAGGCAGCTGGGAGGGAGGGGGGGCAAGGGGAGGGAGGGGGGGCAAGGGGAGGGGTGAGGCAGCGTGGCGGGCAGCCGCAGCCCGCGACGCGGCCCGTGCATGTGCGCGAGTGTCGCGAAGACCCGTGTCTCGGAGAGAGCTTCCCGTGACTGAGGCGTCCAGTGGCTCTCTCTCGCTTCCCTCCCCGACCCATCTGGACAGCGCCATCTAGACAGCAGCAGCCTCTGCCGCAGGGAGAGGAGGACTCTCCCGCGCGGCGCAGCCACGGGCGGCGGCGCGTGGGAGGAGGAGCGCCATCCAGTGCAGCGCCCCCCGGCCGTCTCCGCCGCCCCAGCCCCAGCCCGCCGACGGCCGTGCCGCGGCCCCGACCAGCGTGTCGCTCAGCTGCCGGAGCGAGCCCTCGAGGCCAGCGATTGCACCGCCCGCCTCCCACTCCTCCGCGCTGTCGCCTCCGCCGCTGTGCAGCTGCGGCCGCTGCTGCAGCCTCGCCACCACGCCGGCCCAGCGCAGATGCGGAGACGCGTCGCCCGTCGCGGAGGTGCCTCCTCCGCCTCCTCCGCCTCCGGCCGCCGCCACTGTCTCCTCTGCCGCCGCCTCTGCTGCCGCCGCCGCGAGAGCGGCTGCGAGGCTGCAGCGCACCGTGTAGTGCGAGCAGATCGTGGCGTGGCGAAGCCGAGCGTTCGCCTCTTGGCCAGGCCCACCAGCCGCACCCGCGATCCTCCGCTCGCACAGCCGCAGGGCGTCGCACAGCAGGCGGGCGCTCTCCCGCCTCAGCTGCTGTAAGCATGCGGAGGAGCGACCCGGCTGCAGCTGCTCCAGCTGGGTCTCGGGCGACTGCAGCACGAGCAGGACCACGCGCAGCGCGCCAAGCAGCCACGCGGGCGGCTCTGCCAGCGGGTCAGCCGTGACGGCCGCCGCTTCCGCACGCAACATGCAGAGCGCGTCATGCAGCGATTGCAGCGGCGTGCCGGCACTCGGTTGCGCCGCTTCAGAAGGGAGCACTTCGCGCGCCGCGCGACCCAAGGCACCTGGCCACGCGCGGAGCACACCGAAGGCGAGAGAGAGCGCCTCTCGCGCCTCCATTGCCTTGTCTCCGAGTGCCCCGTACTGAGCGAAGGCAACCGCCGCGAGGGCGAGGCTGGAAGGCACGGGACTGGCGCGCACTGGCTTAGCTTGGGATGAAAGAAAGAGAAGGTTTCGCGCGGGAGAGGTGACGTGTGAACTACAGGTGGTGGGGAAGGCAGCCTCGATTGCCATACAGACATGGGTGCGAAACAACGACAAGACCAAGGTATGGGCAGAGGAACGAGAGAAGAACATAAAATTCTACACGGGAAAAGAATTTTACGAGCGCTCCCGCTTTTGGGTGCCTCTGTCAGTGTGCCCAGTGAGAGACTGCTGGTGAGAAGCCGGAGGAAGGTCGCTAGTCGAGAGAGATTGCCAGTGGAATAGGGAGTCCACCGTGCTGCGAGCCTGTCGCTGTCCCTTGTCAGGAGCAGGAGAACTAGGAGAGCGCAACCAGTAGGAGGCCCGCGCCTGCCCCCGTGCCGCCGGGTGCAACCTGTCCTATACGAGAGAGGACTCCCTGGGACCCTGTCGTGTGGGTGAACCCTGCCCAGCCCCCCTCCGTGTCGCGATGCGCTCCCCGCTCCCGTCCGTGTCCCTGATCGTCCTTATGTACACCTTATAAGATCCTGCTCGTGCAGGTGGGGACCCTGTCCTTTTCCCACCCCTCGTTTGGCGTGCCCGTTTTATTTATTTATTTATGTCCAGTCCGAGCCTGACTGTTCTTCACCTTCCTACATACATACATACATATTTTGGGTGGCGGTCGCGCGCTGCCGACGGCGCTCGCCCGCGTTTGCGGCGCTACGGCGCTCGCGGCGCGCTCGTGGCGTTCAGGGCGGCTCGCACACGCACACGCACACACACACACACACACACACACACACACACACACACACAGAGAGAGAGAGAGAGAGAGAGAGAGAGAGAGAACACATGCATGCACAGACACACAGCCCCTTCCCCTCCCCCCCAAGACCTTCCCAAGGGCGAGGACACGCGCAGGCCGCACCTCTAGTGAGGCCGGCATAAGTGTGTGGGAGACTCATGCCGCCGCCCCTGCCACCCCTGTGTCAGTGTGCCCGTGGTAGTGAGAGACTGCCGGTGAGAAGCCGGCGGAAGGTCGCTAGACTGAGATGAGACCGCCAGTGGAGTTGGGATTCCAACACACACTTGCCCCCTGGTGGTCTGGCACTCGGCGTTATACCTACTGGGGTTAGGCTGTTTTTCTTTTATTTTCTGAGCCTCGGGGGGGCGGGGGGGAGGGGGGAAGTGGGTCCCCGCGGTGTTTTTTCTTTCCTGTCAGTTTTCTTTCTATAACGAGCTTTTTCTTTTCGGTTTCTTTTATGGCAGTAAAAAGAAACGGAACTTTGTCGTTTGTGCGGCAGGCGCGGGCTCGGTCGATATCCCATACTTCGACTCACATCTTCACTGCTGCGGTGAGTGCCCGGGGAGGCGCGGCGGCGGGGTGAATGAAAAGGTCTCAGAATGCACAGAGAAAGAAAACTGGTAACTGCAGGCCGCGCTGCAGTTTCTCTGATCGGGCTGCTGGCGGTGTGAGCGCGAGACGGCGTGGTGAGGCGTGAGGCAGGCTATTGTTGTGGGGTGCGGGCTGCGTCGTTAGGCGTATGCGTGCACATGGTGCTGTATGCTGTGTACTTTGCTGTGTGTGCAGGCAGGCTGGCAGTGTGTGCTCTGTGCTGTGTGCAGGCAGACTGGACAGCGGACTGAACGGATGGCGGAGCGTGCGCGCAGCGTGCCACGCGCGCGCCTCGTGCAGTGCAGACCAGGCGCGTGGCGGCAGGGGCGCAGCGCGGAGCACGCGGGCTGAATGTTCAGAACAAGCAGGGCTGCTGTGCAGTCTGCATGCAGACTGCACAGCAGCCCTGCTCGGGTAACGTAGCGCGAGCTCGGTGGCCTGCGCGCGCGGCGTGCCGCCGCGCGCGCCTCGCGGTGAAGCGTCTTGCCGGTCGCGTCGCGCTCCGGTGCGGTATGGTGCCTGAAGAAGGTGCAGGCGCTTGTGCAATGGGCGCTGACTGCAGTGAGAGGTGCACTGCGGCGCGCGCGTCGGCGTGAGTGGTCGTGCGCCTGGGTCTGGTGGTGCGAGAGGCGCGTGGCTGGTGCGGGCGGCGCGGGCCGGCCATGGGGCGCCAGCACAGGGCAGACGCACATGGCACAGCTCTGAAATGGCGCTGCGCGTGTTTGCGTGCGCGCGGGGACGTACGCGCAGTTTTCACGCGGTGTGCGTGGAGAAGGGCATGAGAGGCGCCGGCCGCGCGTGGCTCGGCGTGTGGGAGTGTTGGGGTGCCCGTAGGCGCGTGGGAAGGTGCCCGAAGGGCGATCATTTTCGGGGTGCTGAAGGAACTGTTGTTCACAGCTTCGCAGAGTTGCGCCGAAAGGCGGGAGAAGCCGCGAGAGCAAGGGATCGGCAGGCGGCGGCGGCGTCGCAGGTCAGGACGAGGCAGAGGAGAGCGACGCGACAGAGGAGGAAGCGACAGGAGGGAGAACGACGAGAGTGGGACGACCGCGAGGTGGCATGAAGGTCGCAGCGAGAATCGGCGAGGGACTGCGAAGGGAGATAGAAAGAGGCAGACGCCCAAGGGTTTGGGTGGGCGACGCCCGACGGCTAGCTAGCTAGCACCACAGTCCACACTCACAATCTCCCTGTGTGGTGGCGGCGTGCCGTCCTCCCATCCATCCCGGGGTGTCTGTTTTCTTTCTTTTCTTTTTGGCGCGCACTGGCCACTAACACATGTTGGTTTTCAAACTCAATCTCTCTCTCGGCCTCTCACTCTCTCTCTCTCTGATGTCGACTCTGATGTGAGGTGTGGCGGACCAGCACAAAACCCCTGTGTGGCGGACATCGGACAACAACAGAAAAGCGCAGCAGCCAACCACCACCTTCCCTTCTCGACGCCCTCCCCTTGATCACCTAGCCCCTCACGCATCTTGAACCGACGCAGCGCTCCGCAGCGCCACCAGGGGAGGAGCGGCCCGGCAGCTCTGCACACTAGAGGAGGTGCGCAAAGTCGCCCTCGAACTCCTCGCGGTCGCGCTTGCGTGCCGCGCCGTTGGCCCCGTAGGAGCCGAGCCGGAGTTGGGCCCGCTCTAGCCAGCCGTACAGGAGGTGGCGGCAGCGCTTGTGGGCGAGCGCGGCGTCGATCGCGTCGTACCAGAGCTGCAGGGCGCGCATGCTCTCGGGCGGGAGGCGGACCACTACCGTCGTGACGGGAAAGGCGTGGAGGAACACGGCGGTTAGGGGCACCGTGACGCGGTCGAGGGAGGAGCAGCCGCGAAAAGCGTTCTGTCCGATGGAGATGAGGGCGGGGGAGAAGACGATGCGCTTGAGGGATCGGCAAGAGAGAAAGGCGTCGCTGCCGATGTGTCTCACGCCGGCGGGAAGGGCGATGTGAGTGAGGGAGGTGCAGCCCTCGAAGGCTCCCGGTCCGATCGTGCAAAGGGTGGCTGGAAGGGCCACAAACTGAAGGGAGCTGCAGGCGTAGAACGCCGCGTCGTTGAGGACGCCGAAACCTTCTCGCCGGGGCCGAAACCTTCTCGCCACGCACTGGAAGGCCCGGCCGAGTTCGCATTCGTGCGAGAAGGTGACTGGAAAGGGCCACCCGCACTGGAACGCCCGGTCACCTTCGCCTTCGTGCGAGAAGGTGACGGAGGTGAGCGACCTGCACTGGAAGAACGCCCGGTCACCAACGGCCTGGATGGAGCGCGGGCAGACGACGGAAGTGAGGGAGTCGCAGTCGGCGAACGCGGCCGCCGGTATCGATGGCATGCCCTGTGGCAGGATTGCGCGACCGGAAATGACAGGGACGAGTTGGATGCCTCTGCCGGGGATGGCGGGCCGGTCGCTTGCCACGGAGATCACTTCCCAGCTGCTGCCCGCGATTAACCGAGGCTGCGCGTACGTGTAGAGAGCTCCAGAGTGCTGCGCAGCAAAATATGCTTGCAGGAATCGAATGTCGTCACTCATCGAATGCCTCAACAACGACACAAGCCGGCTCAACGATGGAGACACGCGCAGCTTCGATCGGAGAACTTCCAACCCAATTCTTCGCAGACACTCGGCCTCTTCCTTCCCAACCACCGTCCATTTGGGTGCAGCTCAAGGCAGGCCAAGGCGGGCGCCTGCCCGCCGCTGCCCTCCACCCTGCCGCCAGCAGTAAATCGAGCCGACCCACCCGCGGGCGCGGCTAGGGGCGCGGTCGCTTTATTTAGGAGGGTGGAGACCTCTATCTTGGGTGAGGGGGGGGGGGTCAAAGATCGTGGGTCGATCGACGACCGGAGGGTCCCGACAAACACAGACAGAACAAAACAAAACTCAGACAGATCTGTACGGGGGACTCTGAAAAATATTTTACGTGGTTGAGACAAAGCTCAAGCACAAGAGACAAGTGGGGGTGCCCGTGCCGCCTAGTTCCGCGGACGGGCCCCTCCACCCTTCATGTACGGATCATGTATGCACCTACAGATCCTGTGGTGGGATCGCTTGTTAATGCATGGTCCGCTTTCGTCTCCGCTAGAGACTCGAGCCGTAGAGACAGTGAGCCGCCACACAGGGGCATCGTTGGCGCACATACTGAGCGGCAGCTGCGCTGGAAATAAGGAAGAGGCGCGTTATTACTTCATGCGGAAGCTTGACAAACACACGGCGAGGGCGACAGCAAGAGTCGAACGCGGAACGGGCGGCGCCTGATTCAAAAGACACAGCCACATTCCTGAGACGCGCGAGGGCAGCCTCCTTAAACGCAATGGGGTCTAGATTTGGAGCGCTCGCCGGAGAGGAGTACGACAAAATAGCGCCCGTGATTGCCTGCACGCTGCCCGCACTCACAGACTCCTACCATACCCGAAAGAAAGAGAGAGGAGCTAGCAGGAGAGGTGACGAGGGAACTGCAGGTAGTGGAAGGCAGCTTCGATCACCATCCAGACATGGGTACGAAACAACGACAAGACCAGGGCAAGGGCGGAGGAGCGAGAGAAGAACATAGGATGGATAGGGCGCCTGTTCACGGCATGGAGGGTGAGCCACGCCGAACGGGAGGAGTCCGGAAGACGAATCGTCGACGACGACACGCCACTAGCAATCCCGTCGTCAGCTGTCACGATGCACCCGAAGGGGACCCCAGCGCCAACATCATCGGTGGAGGTACAAGTGTCCGAAACGAGAGTGGACCTGAGCAACGATATGACTTGGCGGCAAATGATCATAGTGGGCGTCAGAAGAGTCGTCCTGGCGCGAGGAGAGCTCGATAAACTCGAGGGGCCAAAACATGCTATGGGTCCCAAGTATGGGTTCGGGACGTATTCACACCAGTGTGAAGGTAGGGGACCCTGGATTTCTCCTTTCAGTGTGTTTCTTTTCCAGGCGGAGTGTGCGAGGAGAGCGGAGCTGCGCCGAAAGGCGGGAGAAGCCGCGAGAGCAAGGGGTCGGCAGGCGGCGGCGGCGTCGCAGAACGAGGCAGAGGGAGCGACGCGACAGAGGAGGAAGCGACAGGAGGGAGAACGACGAGAGTGGGACGACCGCGAGGTGGCATGAAGGTTGCAGCGAGAATCGGCGAGCGAGGGACTGCGAAGTGAGATAGGAAGAGGCGGACGCCCAAGGGTGGGCGACGGCTAGCGCACAAGCGCACCACACTCCTCTCCTTAAAATCCCTGTGTGGTGGCGGCGTGCCGTCCTCCCATCCTCTCTTGGCGTGTCTGATTTCTTTCTTTTCTTTCGTGTTGTTTGTCGTGTTAGTGCCAGTGCGCGCCAGTCCCGTGCCTAGTGTAAAGAAAGAAAAAAGACACGCCAAGCGAGGGAGGGGTGGGAGAAGGACAGGGTCCCCACCTGCACGTGCCTAGTAAAGAAAGAAAGAAAGAAAGCATTCAGACAAGTCGACAGACAAGGAGGAGGGAGGGGAGGGATGGGAGGACTTGGCTAGTGTCCTTTCAGCCATTTTCTTTCTTTCCCTACACCGAGTGTCCTTCTTCGGACTCGTTTTTCGAGCGTTTTTCGAGCGTTTTTCGAGCGTTTGTTGTCACGGTCTCCTGGGGCCCTCGTTGTTTGTGCTTGTGTCGAACCCGTGAATGGCCTCCGCCATCATCGCCGGCGCCGGCGCCTCCACAGGAGCCGCGGTCGCACGAATGTGCGCCGCACGCGGCCTCGCTGTGCACGGCGCGCGGCGCCGGCCACCACCGCAGCAGAGCGGCGATACGTTCACGGTATCTGCAGTGGACTTTCGCGATGAGGAGTCCGTCGAGGCGTTCGTGGCTCGCGTCGAGGAGTCCTCTGGGCCTGTCGCGCTCGGCGTGCACAACATTGGAGCGAATGTTCAGTTCAGCGTGGCTGACACGACGCCGCAAGTGTTCAGGAAGACTTGGGAGCTTGCCGCGCTGTCGTCGCTCCACTTTGCGCGGGCGCTCGGCGCTCGCATGGCGTCGCGCGGCGAAGGCACGCTCATATTTACGGGCGCCACAGCCTCGCTGAGAGGCGCGGCTAGTTTTAGCGCGTTTGCCGCGGCGATGCACGCCAAGCGCGCGCTCGCGCAGTCGCTGGCGCGCGAGCTCGGGCCGCAGGGCGTGCACGTGGCGCACGTCGTCATCGACGGGCCGGTCGACACGCCGTTTGTGCGGCAGCTGCTCGGCGAGGAGAAGTATGGCTTGCTCAAGCAGCGCGGAGGCTTGCTCGAGCCCGACGCCATTGCGGAGCACTACTGGGCGTTGCACCAGCAGCCCAAGTCCGCCTGGTCGTTTGAGAGCGACCTACGGCCGTACGCCGAGCGATGGTGACAACTGCCGATGTCTGTGAGGTGCCGCCGCTAGCTACACCTAGGTAGTGTGTGCCAGTCACTTCCACACCCTTGTCGTGCCAGCGAGAGAAAGATCAAAGAAAAAAATCGCACCTCGAGCGTCGAGGTACGAGGTCGAGGAGAGTTAGAACGAACAGATCACACAGATCAGAAGACACTAGACAGAACGTTGGACCTACTTTTCTTGTCAACAGGATCATGCGGGGTAGAAGGAAGGAGAGAAAGAAAACAGAGAACACGGACGAGGGATGCGAAGAGGACAGGGTCCCCACGCCCGCCAGCGCCACAATGTCTAGTGGTCCCACGCCCGCCAGCGCCACATGAGTCATGACGCCCACAGCAGCCGCGTTGGTCGGCGCGCGCCGACGCCGACCATCTTTTCTGAAGAGGACAGGGTCCCCACCCACTATGTAGGAAGGTGAAGAACAGCCAGGCTCGCGTGGCGAGCGTTTCTTGTCAACAGGCACCACAGCCGCCCACTCGGGACACTCATGCCGGCATACTGTGAGCTTCCCGAGAATCCATTCGAGCCGGCGCTGCGCCTCGTCGCCACGCACCCGCTCTCCTCGTTCTGCGAGACCAAGCAGCCTCCCAAGCAGCCACCACCGAGCGCAAAGCCGGCACGCAGCGGCAAAGGCTCGGCAAAGGGCAAAGCGAAGAAGGAGGCGCAGCCGGCGGCGGTGCCAGCGCCCGCGGCGAAGGACGAGAGCAGCCCTCCCGCCGCCTCCCCCGGCCACGCGGAAAGCGGTCGCAGCTCGCCGCCGTGGCGCCGGCCGCAAGATAGTCCCGTCGACCGGCGTGAGGCAGAAAAGATGAAGGCGTACATGAGACAGATCGAGGCGGCGGAGGCGGCGGAGCGGGAGCGCGCAAGGCGGCGGGCGCAACGCGAGGCGTCCGCCGCGGGCGACCCCTGTGCGTGCGGCCGCGCGCACGGCCGCAAGCTCTCGATGCGTCTCACATCGGGTGGGCGAGAGCATGAAGGCAGTCTCCTCCCCCATGGGGGACCTGTCGGTGACACGTCCGTGCCGCGCCCACAGGTGGACCGAAGTGTGAGGTCTGCTCTGGCGCGCGGCCGCTCCCTCCGCCGCCCGCGGTGCGCGACGCCCCCCTCTTCACGCCTTCGGAGGAGGAGTTTGAGGACCCTCTGGCCTACATCGCAAAGGCGCGCAGAGTAGCGCCTTGGCGCAGAGGTCAGCGACTCTTCTCGAGGAGCCGCTCGCCTACATCGCAAAGAGACGTAGACGCGTCTTGCACGAGCGCAGCCGCCCTAGCCCTGACCCTGACCCTGACCCTGACCCTGACCCTGACCCTGACCCTGACCCTGACCCTGACCCTGACCCTGACCCTGACCCTGACCCTGACCCTGACCCCTGACCCCTGACCCCTGACCCCTGACCCCTGATCCCTGGCCCAAGGTCCAGCGCTCCTTTTACGAGTACGGTGCCGCGCACCGCGTAGATGCAGAAGCGGCAGCTCTGCGGGGCCCTCTCTGCAACCCCCCCCCCCCCCACACACACCCACTCCCTCCTCCCCCGCTGGCCCAGCACTCCGCTGACCACCCTGCGGCGTTGCACCTGCGGCGTTGCACCTTGCGGCGTTGTCTCTTCACGCACACCCGGAAAGGCGCTTTGCCGCGCCGCGGCTTGCACAGCACCCTCCCCCCCCTTCCCCGCCTCTGCAGGCATCTGCCGCATCCGCCCTCCGCCCAGCTGGTCCCCCCCTCACACCTTCCACCTCCGCCACGGACCCGACGCCGCAGAGCCGACAGCGCCCCGCCCAAAGCCGGAGCCACCCTCCCCTCCCCAACCGCCACCCGAGCCACCCTCCTCCGACCACCCGCCCCACCCGCCCCACCCGCCCCACCCGCCCCACCCGCGGCCCGGCGCGCGATGGAGCGGCGCCGCCGGCAGCGCCGCCGCCAACGGCGCCGCCGCCGCTGGCGCTGCCGCCGCTGGCGCTGCCGCCGCTGGCGCCGCCGCCGCCAGTCCCGTGGCTGGGACGGCTCCCCCGCCGGGTGCCCCGCCGCTGCAGGAGCAGAGCTCGCACGGCCGCGTGCTAACCCAACCCTAACCCTAACCCTGACCCTAACCCTTACCCTTACCCTTACCCTAACCGCTGCAGGAGCAGAGCTCGTATGGCCGCGTGCTGCCGCCGAGCGACGTCTCGTACAGCGCCATTGGCGAGGAGAGACGCAGCTCTCCGCCTGGCTGCAGAGAATGGGTCAGTTAGGGATTACACGCTAGTCGTAACGAAGTAGGAGACGCAGTTCTCCGCCCGGCTGCAGAGGATCGGCACGCGCGCCGAGGCTAGCGGCCACGCCGCCCCACGTCTCTTAATTAATGAATACACTAATGTCACTATTGATGAACAGGAGAGCGGCCACGCCGCCCCCTTCATCTGCACTTTCGTCTCCGCGTACGCCTCTGTCGCCCTCGGCGCGCTCAAGAAGATGGACGCCGAGCTTCGGTCCGAGGCCTTCCCGGGTCAGCCGGCGGAGGAGCCGCCGGCGGCGGAGGCGGCGGAGCGCTTCTTCTGGGAGCGGCTAGCTTCGGAGAGCGAGGCGCGTGTCTGGCGTCGACAGCGGCGCGCCGAGCCTGCTCGCCGTCAGCCCGAGATTTGCCGAGATCAGGCGCGCGTGCTGTACTGCTCGGACGTCGAGGGGACGGCCTTCCCGACCGGCGCACCTCGCACCGCCGCACCGGCCCTCCTCTCCCCACCACAGGCCCGCCCCTGTGCACTCTCCCCCGCACCCCCCCCCCCCCCCCGCACTCTCCCCGCCGCTTCTCACCGCGCCAGACCGCGCCAGGATGGGCGCCCGCCCCCTTGCTAGGAAGTGTCGTGGGAAGTGTCGAGGAAGTGTCTAGGATGTGTCTAGCCGGAGGAAGCGCCCCTTTGCGGTCAGGCGCGCGCGACGGCCCAACGGCGAGGGACGCCCGCTGGTCGCTGCAGCAGATCGCCAGCCACGACGCGTCGCTGCTGCGCTTCGTGCGGTACGACATCCCCGGCGTGAACACGCCGATGCTCTACTTCGGGATGCTCTTCGCGATGTTTTGCTGGCACGTCGAGGACAGCCACATGTACTCGATCTCGTACCTGCACGAGGGCGCGCCACACAGACTGTGGCACGGCTTCATTGCTACTCCACTCATTAGTTCGTGTGAACTAACTAGGGGCGCCAAAGACGTGGTGCGGCGTCTCGCCGCGCCAGGCCTAATTAATTAACACGTACCTAATTAGTCCTGGCCTAATTAATCAACCAGGTACGGCGTCTCGCCGCGCCAGGCCGCCGCCTTCGAGTCCGTCTTCGCCGACGCGGCTTTCCCGCGCGACGTTGCCGCCGACCCGCTGCTGCTGCAGAAGAAGGCGTCCATGATCCCGCCGCACATGCTCACCAGCCGCGGGGTCGCCGTCTGCCGCGCCGTGCAGCAGCCGGGTGAGTTCGTCGTCACGCTGCCGCAGGCCCAGACACTTCCTAGACACTTCCTAGACACTTCCTAGACACTTCCGAGACACTTCCGAGACACTGCCGAGACACTGCCGAGACACAGCGCGAGTTGTCGTCACGTTGCCGCCACGCCACGGAACGCACAGCGCAGTTTCACGTTGAGCAGCGGCGAGTGGCTCCGCCCCAGGCCTACGTACTGACACGAGACATTCTCTTGTCTGACCGCCTACCACGCTGGCACGAGATGGCATTCTTCACACGCTCGCCTGGCCGCAGGCCTACCACGCCGGCTTCTCGCTCGGCTTCAACGCCGCCGAGGCGGTCAACTTCATGCTCGCCGATTGGCTGCCGTACGCACTCTCCGCCTCGGAGGCGTACCGCACGCTGGGCAAGGAGAGAGCGCACCCTCGCCCCGCGCACCCTCCCCTCCCCTCCCCTACCCGCCCTCCTCTCCTACCCGCCCTCCTCTCCCTCGGCGACCCTCTGCGACCTTCGGCGAACCTCGGCGAACCCTCGGCGACCCTCAGGAGCCGGCGATCGACTTGGAGCACCTCCTCCTCGACGCCGCGGAAGCTCGCCACTCCGCGGAGGCGGCGGTGCGGCTCAAGGCAGCGACACTTCCGAGAGACTTCCGAGACACTACCTAGACAGGCGGCGCTGCGGCTCAGGGCAGCGAGCGCCGGGAGGACCCGAGATGGGCCGAGATGGGTTCGAGACTTGCGCCCTCTGCGCGGAGGGAGGGCTGCGCGCAGGAGGCTCGAGGCTCAAGGCGGCGTGGCGCTGGTTCCGTGAGTCCCCTCCCCCCCCCTTCCCTCGCCGCCAGGTGCTCGTCGACGAAGAGATTCGCGCGCGCGCTTCCGTGCGCTCGAGAGGCGTGCCCGAGGTGCAGCCGCACGAGCGCGTCTCGCCCCGCCGGTCGACGCACCGTCGTCCCGGCGCCAGTCGTTGCCTGTCGTGCCGGTAGGTTCGGATGCACGAGTCCGACCGCGCCGTCAACGTCGGGCGCGGGCCGGCTTGCCTCCGGTGCGGCCACACCTGCCACTTCTCCTTCGTCCAGATCGGGACGGACCGCTCGCGCGGCGGCGAGAAGAAGGGGCGCGGCGGCCGCCAGCTCGCCTGCCTCCGCCACTTCGAGGAGCTGCCCGAGGGGCGGCCACGCCTATCTTCTCGATTTCGGCCCTTCACTGGTGAGTTCTGGTTCATGACTTAGGAGCTGCCCGCCGAGGGGCGTCACCTCTTTGTGCGGCACGAGGACGAGGTGCTGCGCGGCATCGTCGCGCGCTCCGCCGACGCCAAGCCGGCGAGCAGGCCCGACCGCGCGTAGATGCTCCTAGACGTGTTCCTAGACCTCTCCCTAGACCTCTCCCTAGACCTCTCCCTAGACCTCTCTCCAGACACGCCCCAGATGCCAGGTCCACCGCTCTCTCAGATGCCGCGCCTGGCTCCGTCCCCTCTTGACGCGTGTTGCGCCACTTGCGTCCTCGCCGCCTCACCCGCCCCCCCCCCCCTCCTCCCCTCCACCCCTCCCCTCGACGCGCAGGCCGATGCTCGACCCGCCCGCAAAGCCGGGGCCGTTGCCGCAGGCGATGCAGCGCGCCATCGCCGAGCTTGACGCGCAGCACAAGCTCAAGCGGCAGAGGCGCTCCAAGCCTAGCTGACGGGCCGCGGCTGTCGGGCTTGGCGCGGTAGGTGCGATGGAGCGAGGTAGGGGTGCGAGGTAGGGGGCTCCGGGCGTCTGGGCGTCTGGGGTGTGGGACTGGGCGCGGCCACAGCTGTGCTGTTGCAGAGGGCGCGCATCATGCGCTAGTACGCCAGGGAACCAGCATGCTGGTGGACGAGCTCCTGGCGCGGGTCAGTGGAGATAGCCCCACAAATCAGTGGAATTAGTTTTCAGACATGTTTTCAGAGGACAGAGCGAGAGGATTCGTCATTCGTCAACCGCCCCCGGAAACCGCGCGCGCGTGGGCCGTGGCGGCTGGAGCGAGCGAGCGCGGAGCGGCCGAGCGCGCGACCCCGCGACCGCGACGCGACCAACAACACCACACATAAAACGTCCGCGCGCATCTTACCATCTTAGGGATTTGCCAACAATATACCTACAATCTTAGGCGCAAATCGCACAGCCGATCGCACTTGGAGCACTTGGAGTGCAGTCGGCAGCCTCACATCCAGGGCCGGGGAGCTTAGAAGCGCACCCAGCGGGCCGGATGATCGGGATCGGGCTACGGGCTAGAGAGCCCTGACCCCTAGCTAGGGGGGGTGCGCATTCGCAGGGCAAGGGCCTTAAGGTAAACACGGATCGGTCTCCGACCTCTTTTTCTTGAAAGACGTAGAACCCACACGACAGCCGCAGCGCGGCGCCGTCTGCTCGGCGCGCAGGTCGGCGAAAGGAATTTGCTCGTGCTTTGCGGACGCAGTGCGCATCGCAGGATGAGACTCCCGTGCGACCAGATCGTCGAAGAGCTGCCGCTGCTCAAGGGTGACGTGCACAATGTGACGAGTGATGAGTATTTGCAGACGATCGCGACGCGGCTACTATACTCGCGCTCGTGCGGCGTGTACTACTTTTCGCTTCTCGCCGCCTCCGTCACCGAGGTGGTCTGGATCCTCCACCCCTGGGCGGTGCCCGGCCACGAGCGGCGAATCGACTATCCCGACTCGTGGCGCGTGAGATAGACGCACATCTACGCGCAGCCGACACTGCCGGACACGCTCGAGTCGCCTCGCCGCCAGCCCGCGCTCTCGCGCCCGCCGCTGGTGCCTGCCTATCGCTCCGACAGCCGCCGCTCCTCGCAGGCTCTTCTTTCTGGTCGAGCTCTACCTCACCGCGGGCCTGTTTGGAGAGACGGCGCTACGGATCGTGCGCCAGCGCGCCGCCTTCTGGGGGCAGTGCGGCAACGTCTTCGACGCCGCCGTCTGCGTCCTCTCCCTCGTCTCGTTTGCACTGCCTCTGCTCAAGCTGGCGCGGGAGATGGAGGCGAGGTGTAGCCGAGATGAAGCCGAGATGTGGAGAGCTCGGTTTGGCGCGCGAGAGAGGGGCCGCAGCGGCAGAGGGCTCGCAGCGGCAGAGGGCTCGCATGGAGAGCAGCGGCAGAGGGCTCGCATGGAGAGGCGCCGCGCTCCGAGCCCCTCGGTGCGGGTGCGCAGGTCGCCCTCCTCTCCATCATGGCGGCCTGGGTCTGGCTGAGGATGGCGCGCCTCCTCTCCGTCGCCCGCACGCTCCACAGGCAGCGCTCGACTGCTGTCGGTCGGCTCGACGTCTCCTTCGACGACGGCCTCGGCAGGCACTCGTCGTGCTCGTCCTCGAACGGGTCCTCGGACGAGGAGCCGCCGCCTAGGCGGCACGCCCCGACGGCGAGCACTCGCCCTTCACTGCGCCGACGCTGTGAACAGGAAGCTGTGCTCGGCGTCATCACCGAGGGCGCCGAGCAGCAGCAGCAGCAGCATGCCCTCCTCCGGCCACGCTCCCTGCCCGCGGGCTTGGGCCGGCTGTCGAGCTGACCCGCGCTCACTCCAAAACTCTACCACGGTTCCTGTGTTTCATGGTGAGATAACGCGCTCAACGCGCGATATGTGTGCACCGGGTCTTTCTTTTTTTGATTTTGTCAATTCAACTCATCAGTGAACATCATACATCAGCACTGGATCGAGAGAACATTTATGTGCTGACAGATTACACTGAGAACAACACCGGAAGAAAAGAAAGCGAGAGAGAGAGAGAAGAAAATCAAGAAACATATATATTGGACTGTGTGTCAGCTCTGTGTGTGTCTCATGTATACGTACGTCAGGGGCGGCGACCCCCCCATCTACAGATGATATGCGCATCTTGAGATAATATGCATCTAAGATGCGCCCTACCTGATCACTGTCTTGCCTCTGTATATGTGCTCGACGGCATCTCTAGATGTTTTTTTTTCAACTAAGATGCCGGAGCATCCTGGGATATGCTCGAATCATCTGAAGATGCTCGTGGGGCATTTAATGATTATGTAAATGCAAGTTAAATTAAAGTATTAAAGACTTTTGAGCGGCGTGTGAGCCCTTGGATCAAATAAGTTGGAGTGGAGACTATGAATCTATGCTTCTCTCACGCACGAGCTGCTATGCTATATGTAAGTGTGAAGCTCACCCATTGAGGAAGTGAGAACTGCTCGACCCACCCCTGATCCTGCTGAACGAGCTACTCTTGTAGCTCGATCGGTCACACCGCCACCGCCGTCGAGGAGAGGGGGGCGGACGACACTGCTTCGGCAGCGTGCACCTCGATCCTGTACCGTGTTTGTTATGACCCCCCCCCCGATGAACACACCAGCGAGGGAGGGCGAGACGATCGAGGGGTCCCGTACGATGCGGAATCGATCGACACTATCCAGTGCTAAAGTACTAAAGTGTGATGTGACTAACTAACCACTCTGTCGTGTCTGTGGAATATTACTGATGGTGATGGAACTGCGAGCCAGTGAGTGATGGTGGGGCACTTAGCCCTTGAATCGGCGCGCCGTGCCAAGAATCTTCTCCTCATAGACAGTCAAGAGGATTTTTGTAGACTCCGCGCGAGGCTACAGATTTTTCACCGCTGAGTACCGGGTAGTAACGACGTCCGACGCTTGAAACGTCGACTCGCCCTGAACGCGAACACACGTATATGCGCCGCGTGGTGGACGACCAGCAGCGGGAGAGTGTGCGATCGAAGGAGGCGTGGCGCGAGCGGCAGGCTGCGATCTCGGCGCAGCTCAAGAGACTGCATCATGAGGACCAGAGACGCTCGCCCCGAAAGGCAAACGGGCTGCCTCGCAAGAGCTTTGGTAGCGGCCCGCCACCCGCCAGTCCAAGGACTGGCTCGCCTTCGACTCCGCGGACGCGTCTAGCGGAGAGCCATAACAGCCTCTCCTCGTCCGACAGCATCAGGTCTGACCTGGCCTGCGAGGGTCTGCACGGGTCTGTGGGTGAGGGCTTCCTCTCAGTCTACCGGGAGGCCGCCGTGGATTACCGACGCTCGGTGTCCGAGGCCGTCCTCGCCATTGATGACGCCAAAGATGCCGGGGTGCAGCGCTGGCGGAATCAGCTCCGGATCGAGGCGGAGGCGTTGCATGCGGAGCTCTCGAGGGAGCTAGAGCTGCACGCGGAGCGGCTGGCGGCCGAGCTGTCGCGCACCGCCGAGGCACACCTCGCGCGGATCGAAGGTGCGGAGTCTGCGCGCTGCCCCGCCGAGGCTGCCGAGGGGCGCCGGGACGCGGGCGCGTCGCAGCCCTGCCGGCGGCGCCCGGAGCGTGGCAGGGTGATTGCAGGGGTTGTGGCGAGCGTCGGCATCGGCGCCCTCCTCGTGCTCGGACTTCGGTCATTCGACCGGGGGCGGTGGCCAGCCGCCGCCCTCTGGCTGGGGCTGTCTCGACCGGCCGCAGCTAGGGCGGCGCTGGCATAAGCGGTGAGGGCGCGGGGTATGGCAGGCTCCCCAACAGAGGACTATCTGTGTGTGATCTTGGGGCCAGGAGCTGTGTCTTTGCGTGGACAGAGATTTCGGGCCGTGGTTTTTGTGCGGGCAGAGACGCGCCGCAGCATTTCTCTTCACGTGAGTTCTTCACGTGTAAACATATGATCTCTGTACTCTGATCTGCGAACGCGTGCGGAGAGGGCGGTCTGCATTCTCTGCCACGATGCCTGATCCTGTTCTGTGTGTGTTGGAGGAGAGAGAGATCAGCCATTACTCTGTCCACTTGGTGGAGCACTTGGAGTCGACTCACGAATTCTTTTTCCGAGCACCGACGCTCGGCGGTAAGCGCGCGCGCTCGCCGAGCAAGTACCCGGGTAGCGCTCCGAACAACACCAGCTCCACTGGTTGGCTGCTGCGCGGCCCGGGCGTGTCCGCGGCCGCAGTCTCTATGTCGCCCGACTACTTTGTGCGTGCCACGCGCAAGGGCGGGCTGCCGCTGTCAGTGGAGAAGCGGCGCTATGGCAAACCAGTCACGATCCTCGAAAACTGTGGTGGCGACGTGCCAGGGCTGCTCGCTGCGATCAAGGCTGCTCTAGGGACGGGAGGCACACTGCACGGCGGCGGCCTTGAGATCCAGGGCAGCCTGATCGAGCAGCTCAGTGCGTGGCTCCTTCGTGCCGGCATCGTGCGTGGCCTCGCAAAGCCCGCACGGCCGCACGAGAGCGAGGAGGATGCGGCCGCTGCGGACGCCGCCGTGGCCGCCGCACGGCCGCCGAGGGATCGGCCACGCTGGAGCGCGGAGCGTGTGGCGGCCGCCACTCGAGCGGCAACAACGGGCAGCAGCTCTCTCGCAGAGGCGTCGGGTGCGCGCAGCCCTTACGACGCGTTTTGCGCGCTCTGGCGTGGCTGGCCGTACTGGGACCAGGTGCAACCCGAGAGCCTCCACTCCCAAGCCGTCGCAACGGCTGCTGCTAGCGCCCTCGCCGCGCTCCGTCCAGACAGCTGTCGCTTGCCCCGCCGCCGTCCCGTCCCGGCCCCGGCCCCTCTGCCTGGCTGCTGGATCACGCCTTCGCGCCCCTGCAGGACTGGTCCCGGCTGCCGGAGGTGTGGAGCCGGGCTCGCGAGGAGGGGGGCCCCGCCCTGTCCCTCGAGGCCAGCTCTCTCGGGCAAGCAGGTGGCGTGAGAGTCTCTCTCCTGCTCCGGCGGGCGGGCGGCGGTGAGGAGGGGTGCGGGCTGGGTAGGTGCGGAGAGACCTGCGGTGCTGCAGACGGCAGAGGAGCTGTCGGCGGCGCTGCGCTGCCTTGGGATGCTCGCAGAGCCGTGCGCCTCGAGGCGAGATGCAGCCGCGACGTAGCCGAGATGTAGCCGCGATGTAGCCGCGATGTAGCCGCGATGTAGCCGAGCCGTGTACCTCGAGGCGTGCCGCATTCGGCAACCTCGGCCCTCGCCGCCTCAGACGCCGCCTCCCCCCCCGCCGGCCCGCGACTTGCGCCCGGCTCCCCCTCTGCAGGCAGACGCGAGCCCAGAGGCTCGCGGCGGCGCGCGGCGGCGGCGCGGCGCGCGCCAGCGCGGCGGCGAGAGGAGGCGCAGCGAGAGGAGGCGCAGCGAGAGGAGGCGCGGCGGGCACGGGCAGCGAGGCGGGAGGAGGGCAGCGGCTTGACGTCGCCGCGGCGCGCCGCCTCGTCCAGGTCTCCTCCTCCGCCGCCGAGAGATACCGTGCACGAGACAGCCGCACCCACCGATACCTCCCTCGGCTGTACCTCGGCTGTACCTCGGCTGTACCTCGGCTGTACCTCGGCTGTACCTCGGCTACATCTCGGACCACCCACCCCACCGAGATAGGCTTCCCTCGGCGCACAAGCGCGCAGCGGCGCCGCGCGGGCGGGTGGCGCTGGCGCGTCGCCGTCGCCGCACCGCGCGCCGGTGAGAGCTCTCCTTGCGTCTGCCGTCGCCTCGCCGCCCTTGTGCTTCACTATTCGCACGCCTTCCCGCGCCCCTCTCCACGCGCCCCTCCTCCCCGCTCCCGCCCCGCCCCTCGCCGCTCCCTCTCACTGACGTCTGTGTCTGGCCAGGGCGGGAGGCAGGGCGGGAGGCCGCCTCCTCCTCCGCCTCCTGCAGGCTGGCGGCCCGTCCGGCGCACGGCGAGAGGGGTTGTGCCGGCGGTTGCGCCGGCGGTTATGCCGGCGGTTGCGCCGGCGGTTGTGCCGCCGCCGGCGCGCGGTCGCGGTCGCGGCGCGGTGTCGGCCGGGCGGGTTTCCCGCGGGGGGGGAGGCGGAGGCGGAGGCGGAGGCGGAGGGGGGCGCGGCAGACGGCCTCGGCTCGCGCTGGGCGACGGCGATGGCTGGTCGGGCGACGAGTGGTTGTCGGACGAGGGGTGGGGGGGGGAGGGGTGGGGGGTGGAGGGGTGGGGGGAGGAGGGCTGGGGGGAGGAAGGTCGCCACGCGACGAGGAGCGGCGCGAAGGCAACGCCCGCGGCGGCAACCGCAGCGGCGCTGGCGGAGGCGCAGGCGCAGGCGCAGGCGGAGGAGGAGGAGGAGGAGGCCGCACTCGACGCGGCGATCGCTCTCTCTCTGCGCGACGGCGCTCTCGAGGCGGCGGAGGGGGGTGGGCGGTGTTGTGCGCACGGCCCGGGGCGAGCGACGGGGCGCGGCGCCGCCCCTAGGCGATCGAGGCGAGGCTGGCGGTGCAGAGGCAGCAGTGGGAGAGAGAGGTGCGGAGCGGCGGTGCGGCTCTCCGCCCGGCGGGCGGTGGTGCGGGGCCGCTGCACAGGACGTGCGAGGAGCTGTGGGGCGATTTGAGCGAGGAGGAGGCGCGCTCGCCCGCAGAGAGGAGCAGGGAGGAGCAGGGAGGAGGGTGCCAGGCTACCGCGGGCCTGACGGGCTCGGAGCCATCTGCAGGCGTTCGCGCTGGCGATCCGTCTCTCTGCCGAGGAGGCTGCGGCGGCTGGGCGGCCGGTCGGAGGCCTCTACGGCGGAGGCGACGGCGGAGGGTGCGGCAGCGGCGATGGAGAGAGCGACGCGTTCTCTTCTCTCCCGTCGACCGACGACGAGCTCGAGGAGCAGCTGCTGCGCGAGGAGCAGTTGCGGCGACAGGCGGCAGCAGAGCCGCCATCGCACCCGCCGCGGCCGCGGTGGGACGGGGAGCCGCCGCCGCCGCCTCTGGGCGCCGGGGCCGCCTCTGCAGCCTTCAACGGCGGGATGGGCGAGGAGGAGGCTCTGAGGTCCGAGATCTAGCCGAGAGCTCGCCGAGATCAAGTCGAGATCTGGCCGAGATCTAGTCGAGATCTGGCCGAGAGCTAGCCCGAAGCCGTCTAGGTCAGCCCGGAGGGGGTGTCCACTCTTCCTCTCCTGGCTCTCCTCTCCCGGCTCTCCTCTCTCAGCTCTCCTCTCTCAGCTCTCCTCCCGCGCAGGCTCGCCCTCGCGCTCAGCGGCGAGGAGGCGGCGGCGGACGGGGCGGCGGTCGCCGAGTGGCCGGCGAGCAGGGCGAGGGCGGAGGCCGTCCATGACGCTCCGCCGACACCCTCTGAGGTGGCGCGCGGCCGAGGCCGGCGCGTTGGCGCTCGTGCAGACTCGTTTCCGCCGCCTGCCGCCATGTCTGCGCGCGAGCAGGCTGCGTACGCTTTATTGAGCGCGGCGCGGGGCGAGGACCTGGATGGGGAGGCCACCGTCGATTTCCTGCTCAGCATGTCGCCCTCTGACGCGCGCGAGTACGTGAGTGACTGGCTTGGATCCGCCGCAGCGGGCGCGGTCGAGGGTGCGCTGGCGGGTGCGCGCACTGAGGCGGAAAGAGGTTTGAGCTAGCGCGTTTTTTGTGACGATCATACTAAAAAACACCCGAAGCACCGGCCGGTGAAGGCCGCTCGCTGCCCGATGGCAGGCGCTTCAAAAAAAAGATGGAGACGCGGAGCTGCCGCTCAGGCAGGCGCGGCGGGAGGGGAGGCGCGAAATAGCGCCGGGAGCGAGATCCAGTCTCTCACCCCCACGGAAGACCGCAGGGGAGCCCGGCACCCACATTCCTCCACTCCCACCGGCCCAGCCACGGCGCTCGTGTGGCGGTGCGCGGTCCGCTCGCCACCCTGCTTTTGGTGGGCGAGCCGGCAAAAGCGCAGGGCGAAAACCCGGCGGGACTACCGTGCGACCTAGGGTTAGGGTTTGCGGAATGGCGCACTTGGTGCAGCCAGACCTCGGGGCGAGGAACCGACAATTCCCGCCACGTCTCCAGGCGCGCAACCTAAAAGAAAACACTTTATAAACTACACGCCCTCGCCGACGATGCTTCAAACCCGATTTTCTTCCAGCTCTCTCTTCCAGAAGAATCCAGAATCACGATCCAGTTTCGCCTGGAAGACTCTCTCTCTATCAATGTATGTGGCTCTTACGTACGTCCCCTCTCTCGATGCCCACGCCGGCGGCGGCGGCCGCCTGGGGAGCGCATATGGCGGCGCAGGCGCAGGCGGCGGCGGCGGCACACCACAAACGGCGGCGGCCACCCCCACCCAGACGCCGTAGGCATATGACTGTAGGGCCCCAGAAGGCTAGCTGGTAGCTTCATTTGTAGTAGCACAGCCGCCGGTGTGCTAGAGAGGGGTCCCCGCAGACGCGCAGAGGTGTGGGACGGGAGGGTTGAGAGAGAGACCCATGACCACCCATGACTACATGGACCACACTCACATGTCTTTGCATGTAATAGTTTTGTTATACCCTCATGGGGCACAAGAAAGAGGCTCTACGGGGTCTGACTGTGTACGGTGGTCTGTGCTGCTGTCGGGCTGTCAGCGCTGCTGTCAGGCCACTGTGTGCAACTGTCGGGCTGTCGGGCAGCTGTCAGGCTGTCACGTTAGGGCCTGACAGCGACGGAGCACCTCGACTGTCAGACTCTGCTGTCAGGCTGTCAGATACGTGCTGTGTCAGACTGTCGGAGAAAGTGCTGTCAGTGCGCTGTCAGCGCTGTCAGGCACTGGTCAGGCGCTGTCCGGGGTTTGCTGTCAGGCTGTCAGACCAGGGCTCAGTGCTGAACTCTGAACCTGGGATCTCACAGGACCACGCTCCACGGTTTCAATGGGCGTTAAGTTTCATTGCGGACATTGCACATTGGGACGCGCAATGTCCCGCATGTATTGTCTCGGCTGAGAAAAACAACAACCTGACCAGGGAATCACGAAAAACGTATCGAGCGATGTCATCCGTGCCCGTCCCAGACGGAGTCGGACTCCCTCTCCCCGACCCTACCGCCATCCGAGTCTTCCCGCTCCTCGCCTCGCACCTCCAGCTCGAGTTGAGCCTCACCCGCCGGAGGAGCCTGCACTGCAGCCAGAGCCGTCGCCTCTCCCTCCCACGCCCCAATTGCTACCTTGCAGAGAGGGCAGGTATCTTCCGTCAGCAGCCATCGGTCGATGCACTCCGCGTGGAAGTAATGGGCGCACGGAGTACGGCGGACTAGCCGAGCCGGCTCCGCCTCGAACTGCGACAGACAGATCGAGCACGCCTCCCCCTTCCCGTGCGGAGCGCCTCCACAGCAGCCCCGGCATGTGCAACCGCCCTCCTCGCAGCTGGCGCAGCTGCAGCGCCGGTACGACTGCTGCGGCATCGCGTCGAGGAGCCGCTCCATCTTCCTCAACTCGCCGTGGTCGCTCGCAGCGGTGCGAGTGGCTGCAGCCCGGATTTGCAGCCGCCGCCGTGCTATCAGGAGCAGCCCGCAGAGGAGCACGAGGCAGCAACTGCTCGCGAAAGAGATTCCCGCGAGGACTATGCCGGACCACTCGCCTTCGGCGTTTGATGGCGGCGGCGGCCACAGCGGCGGGGGATTTGGCGGCGCCGGCGGTGAGAGCTCATACGTGTGATCGTACATCGTGTTTGTCGAGTCTGCAGGCACTCGACGTAGCCGCCGACGCACGGCTCCGCTTGAGTGGGCTCCGCTAACTAACGACCCGGGACCCGACCCCCCACATACCGATGAGCGATGTCAAAAAGAATTTTACAGAGGAATTTCAGAATGAAGAATTCGCGCCCGCAAACCACCCGGCACATGCACCTGCACACGACTCGCGAGGGGTAGTCGGCGTATCTTGGTAGCCGACGAGGACGCTGCCACCATGCGGCAGAGAGAGGCAAGGCCAAGGGGCGACGAGGCGCGGCGAGGCAAAAGGCGCGAGGCGAGAGACGAGAGGCGTACAAGGAGAACTAGAGACTCACATACACTTAAACACGGCGAACGTGGAACGTACGGCTCTCACTCCGCCGGCGGCTGCAGCAGCCCGCCCAGATCTCGGATCCACACGTCCGCCAGGCCCTCATGCCGCCCAACCGACGCCTCGGGCCCCACGAGGATGACGGCGGCGAAACCCGCCCGCCGGCCGGCCACCAGGTCGGCCGCGCTGTCGCCGACCATCGCCACGCGAGAAGGCGCCGCGCCGAGGGCGGCGGCGGCCGACAGGACCATCCCCGGCTCCGGCTTGGCGCCATGGCCGCTGTCGCAGCAGCGGACGGCCGAGATGAGCGCCGGCTCGTGCTCGGACCCGAGCCAGCCCAGCGCGCCAAGCTGCTCGCGCGTGCTGCGGTCTTCGTCGTTGGTCGCGACGGCGCACGGGATGTCCGCGTCGCGAAGCGCTCGCAGTAGCTCGGAGGCGTGCGCGGCGGGCGTGACGTGCGCCACCACCTTGGCGGCCGCCGCGTCGAGCAGCGCACGCCCGTCCGTGTGCGGTGTCAGCAACTCGATCAGCTCCGAGTTGCCCATGTGCACGACTGGCGCCTCGGGCAGCGGCTCGCGCAGCGCCATGTCGAAGCCCAGGACGTTGGCGATACGCGCGCGCAGCTGACCGTCTGAGCCCGCGCTCTCGCAGATCGCATCGTAGATGGCCGGGTTCCACGTCGCGGCAAAGTCGAGCAGCGTCCCGTCCTTGTCAAAGACGACGGCATCAAAGGCCGTCGCCAGCGCGCGTGCCGGCATCCCGCCGCGAGCCGTGGCCGAGACGCGTGAGACAAAGTGGTGCATGGTCGTCGCAACCGCCGCGACTTGAGCGCGTTTGGCGGAATGTTTTTTCTTTTTTCTTTCCCTTTGGAATTGATTTTGCTTTGGGACGGGGGCGCTTTTAGTCCCGCCTCTGTGAGGCTGATGACCGGGGGTGAAGTTATCATTCTCCGCTACTCAGCGTATCGCGAGGCTCCCAGATCTGCTCTGCGGGCTGGCCCGGGCGGTGCCGTGGCGGGTCGTCGTGCGCCTCGCACCGCAGCTGCTGCAGCCGGGGCACCACGAAGGCGAGTGTGGAGACCGCCTCCGCTTCGAGCTGCAGCAGCTGGTGCACGCTGAGACTCTCCCCTGCGGCCGCCGCGCGCGCGTGCCCCGCCCCGTAGGCCCACGCCTGGCGCAGCGCCGCCTCGAGCGCCGCCACAGATTGCTCGAGGTAGGTCACGCGCGCGCGGAGCTGCTCGTTCCGCAGCAGCGCCTCGCTCCGCAGCGGCGCCTCGCTCCGCAGCAGCGCCTCGCTCCGCAGCGGCGCCTCGCTCCGCAGCGGCGGCTCGGTCGAGGGGACGTTGCCCGGAGACATCGAGGGGGGAGGCGCGGGCGGGAGGGGCGCGGAGGCGGGGCTGGCGTGGGAGGGGCTGGCGGTAAAGAGGGAGGCGTGGAAGAGGGAGTGGGCCGCCGGGGTGCTCGGCGGAGGCGGGGCGACGGCTCGCTCGGGCGGGATCGATGGCAGCGGAGGGGGCGGAGGGGGCGGAGGGGAGGCAGGTGGGGGAAGCTCCCTCCCCTCCTCCCTCCCCGCCGCACTGCCGCCGCTCTCGCTCGCCTCGCTCCCGAAATCGCAGCTGTCGCCCTCTCCCCCCCCTCCTCCCGCCGCCCCCCCTTCCTCCCCGCTCGTCCCCGCGCCCGCCGAAGCCGCCTCTCGCAGCAACACCCCAGCACCGCGGCCGCTCGTCGCCGCCCCGCCGCCAACTCGGCCGCCGCTCCCCCTCGCTCGCGCCTTAACCGCATCCGCGCGCCGGCCCGCAGCGGCGGCCGCCGCGCGCCGCCGCATGCTCTCTCCTAAGGCCTGCCTCTGCTCCTTCGCCTCCTCCGTCAGCAGCGCCGCCGCCGCCCGGTCCGCCGCCCTCTCTGCCAGCTCGAGCGCCCTCCTCCTCGCCTCAGCGCGCGCCTGCCGGAGGGGCGCCACAAGCGGGCTGTATCTCGGCTGCATCTCGGCTGCATCTCGGCTGCATCTCGGCTGCATCTAGGAGCATCTCGGCTGCATCTCGGCTGCATCTCGGCTGCATCTCGGTTGTATCTTTGCTGTATCTCGGCCGGCCTCGCGCCTGCCGGAGCAGAGTGCACAGCCCCTGCGGCGCACCCCCCTCCTCAGCGAGCTCTGGCAGCGCCTGCAGGAAGGGTCCGGGAAGGGTCAGGGACGAGTCCGCCCGACGCCGCCCCTCGCAAGCCTCCGGCGGCGCCCGGCCGCCGTACGGCCTCTCCGGGTCGGCGCCACGCGCCAGCAGCAGCTTCGCAGCCGCCTCGCCGCCGCCGCCGCCGCCTCCTCCTCCTCCGGCACTGGACGGCCTCGCCTGCTGCCGCGCCGCACGTCCACCCGGCTGCTCCGCACCCGACGGGCGAGCCTCTCGAGGCCGCGAGGGCGTCGGCCGAGGCGGCCTCGCAAGCAGCGCGAGCGGCGTGGCCCCGTCGGCAGCAGCAGCGTCAACCTCTGCGCCAGCGTCGAGGAGGAGCGAGGCGGCTTCAGTCCTGGCCGAGGCGGCTGCGGCGTGGAGCGGAGTCCACCGACGGCTCTCGTCCACCGCATCGAGCGGCGCCCGGGCGGCGATCAGCAGCCGCACTGCACCCACCCGGCCACGCGAGCAGGCGAGGTGCAGCGGCGTCTCGCCCGAGCTGCTGCGCATGCCCGCGTTGGCGCCCGCAGCGAGCAGCGCCGAGACCAGCTCCGTCTCGCCCGCGTGAGCCGCGCCGTGCAGCGCCGAGCGACCGTCGCCCGCGCAGCTCGCGTCAACGAGCGCGCCCGCGCCGAGCAGGCTCGCTGCAATCTCGCGCCTGCCCGCCCGCGCCGCAGAGTACAGTGGCGTCACGCCGCGGGTGTTGCGCCGGTTGACGTCAGCGCCCGCGTCGAGCAGGAGGCGGACGAGCGACTCGTGACCCGCCTCGACCGCCAGAGTCAGGCGGCGAGTCAGGTCCTCCGCGTCAACGGTCTGGACGGGAGGGCCTAGCGTGCGGCGCGTCGACTCCTCCGGCAGCCCAAAGTGGCCGAAGAGCTCCGCGTCTCGGAGAACCATGCGCTGCAGTCGAAAAGCCCGGCTGCGAACTGCCCGCGCCCGGGGACGGCGCCAGCACAAGAACCAGGTTCGTTGTGAAGAGCTGGGGCGCGCCACCCAAGAGCCTAGGTAGGTGCGGATCGGCAAGAGCGCAATCGATCTTTTTGCCCTCTATCACCTTGGGTTGTTAAGAACTTGAAACACACCACGCAGGGGCACAGCAAGCACGGATAGCCGTTGAGGAGAAAGGGCGTAAGGTGTATGCGCAGCCACGGCCGTGCCGCGGTGTATGCGCCACCTCCCGCGAGCGCGGCGGGATCGGAATTGCGGCCGGAGGGAAGGGCGAGCCGCCGCCGCCGCCGCCATATACCATCAGCACAAGAATTTTGCAAGCCACGGAATGGCGGAGGCGGACGGAGATGGCGGGTGCGCTGCTCGGGATGGAGGGAGGCGCCCTGAGGATGGTGGCTCGGGTGGCCAAGCAGCGGGCGATACAGGTGACGCGCCACTGGCAAGCGGTGGGGATCCCTCTCGATCGAGTCGCTCGGGACGGAGCGCTTCCCCACGGCCACGCTCGCTCGCCGCCTGTCATGGGTGCGGCGGTAAATTTCGCACATTGTTCCACGTGAAGCCGGAAGACGGACCTGCGGCTACGAAAGTAGCTGAAGAGGTGGTTAGCGCCATCCTAGAACGGATTTCTGAGCGGGTGGAAGGGGAAGCGGAGGAGGGGATGAGGACGCGCCTGTGCCACGCCATGCAGGGACAGGGGGTGTTTGTGTGCTTTTGTTGTGCAGCCCCTGTGGTCCGTGAGAAGAGGGGGCAAGGAGACGGGTTGGCGGCGAGGGGGGGGGCAGTCGTCGCAACAGGCGAGCGCATCCCGAGCCGGGGCTGCAACTGTGGATCGACCTCCCCCGGCGCGGATCTTGCCAGGAAGGGCACGAGGCAGCCCGGTGAGGTTCGTGCCGGCAGCAGACAGAGCAAGACAACGGGAGAAGGCGATCCGAGAAGCCGAGATGAATCAAGAGGCCGCGGTGGCGGGCGAGAGGGCGGTCCTGGCGGAACTCAGGGCGATCGGTCTGTCGTTCGCGGCCAGCACCGGCGTCCTCAGGCCAGTACAAGCACGGGAGGTGCGGGGCCTGGCTAAACGACTGGTTGGCTCGACAGACCTTCTTGGACAGGTTTTCCGGTGGGAGGGGGAGGACTACCTCGTCAACGACATTGCACCGGGACCGACGTCGTCGGGGGGGCAGGCGATGAAGGCGTACGTCTGCTGTGTGAAGAGGCGTGTGGCATCGGCGGGCCCGCTGTCCGAACACAACTCGGCCTTTGATATCCGGTCGGTGCGGGACCGAATCGAGAGGGACCGGGTGAGGGGGAGGCGGCGCAGCTACTGCGCAGTCTACGGCCCGGCGCGGAGCGGCGGGAGGGAGAAGCGGGACCGTCGGCGAACCCGGGCCCTGCCACCCCCCCTTCGCGAGGGGAGACGAGAGCTAGGCCGGCCCCCACGAGTGAGGTGGACGGCCGACGCGTGGAACCGCGGCTAGAACGACCGCAGGGGCAGGGGGCCGCCCCCGTGGCCCCGCCCCAGGCGACACGGCTGCCGGCACCGCAACCACGCCCGCCTCCACCACCACCGCCTCCGCCTCCACCGCTGGAGCGGCCGTTGGGTCAAGGGGCCGCTGCTGGGGCTTTACACCAGGCGCTGCGGCCGCCGGTGCCGCCACCGCACCCGCCACCCCCGCCACCGCCTCCGCCCCCGCCGCTGGGGTGGCCGCAGGGTCAGGGGGCCGCCATCGGGGCCCCATACCAAGCGATGCGACCGCCGGTGCCGCCGCCGTACCCGCCCCCATGCCCGCCCCCCCCCTCAGCCGCCTCCGCCCCCGCCGCCGGCGTGGCCGTCACCGCTCCAACCCACGCGGAGCCTGGGGGACCCGGAACCGCCCCGTCGGAGGCTGGGGTACCCGGGGGAGGGGTCCGAGGGTGGGGAGGTGCCGTGGGGAGACAGCGGGTCAGCCGGCGGGCCGGAAGGCCGGGATCGGAGGGCCCCGGGTGAGGCCTGGAGTCAACTCTGTCAAGGGAGGTGAGAGTCGAGCTGACTCGGCCTCTGCGAGTGGAGTCGGGCCGTGCGAGCCCACCGGAGGTAGACCTGTCGCGGCGGCGGCCGGACCGCCGTGATCTACGACAAGAGGGACCGCGCCTCCCCGAGCTTAGTGAGGAGCCGGCGGAGGGGAAGGGCGAGCCGAGAACGATAGAGAGGCCACGGATGCGGGCGCGACTCGCCGACCAGGGAGAGCCGGCCCGACCTCCCGGGGAGGGGTGGCGACGAGACACGATGCCGCCGCCCTCGCCCGGGGAGGCCCCACCCGGGCTGTCAGCTCCCTCGGAGCCAATGGGGCTAGCCGGCGGAGGTGGGGCGGGGGGGCCGCCTCCGAAGAAGAGACATCAAAAACGAGTGCAGAGGCAGTGGGGCGACGCCCGAAAAGCGAGCAAGAGACCGAACCAGACCGAAGATTCGCCCTGATGGGTGCGGGACGAGGCCCCCGCGCCGGGGAGCCGCCGCGCAGCCGGGCAGTGTACACGTTAGTTAGTCGTGTGTGTACGTGACGGGTGGTGTCGTAGTGTCCGTGTCCACTAGCTCCGAGTAGAGGGGGCGTTCTGCAGTTAAGGGGAAACCCGGTACACGGAGCCCTCTCGGAGACCCGTGTTTACTTTACGGCCCTTTCCCCGCGAACGCGCACCCCCTGGGCTAGGGCTCTCCTGCCCGCAACCCGATGCCAATCATCCGGCCCGCTGGGTGCGCTTCTTAGCTCCCCGGCCCTGGATGTGCGGTTAATGACTGCACTCCAAGTGCTCCAACTGATGCCATGCGTGACCTAGTAGTGTGGTCCTCCCCAGCTGTGTATGGGCGTGTGTCCACGTTGGATGGATGGACGATGGCGAGCAAGGCGTGGTGTGGACGCGAGAATAGCTCCGCCGTTCATGGAGGCAACCGATGCGAGCCGACTGGTGTGTGTCGCCGTCGTGGGGGGTTTCGTATCAAGAATACTCACTCACCGCTAACACACCTCACACGGCTCAGGGCTCTTTTGCTCATAGCCCGATGCCGCCGAGCATCCGGCCCGCTGGGTGCGCACCTGCGCGCTTCCCGCTTCTCATGCTCCCCGGCAACCCTGCGCCCTGGATGTGAGCCTGCACACTGACCACTGTGACGTTGTGAGGTTGCCACAACCGGCATTCTCTGGTAGGACGGGAACGAGATGATAGTAGGGAGTAGAAGAAAGCAAAGAGGAGCCCTGCGCACGCACACAGAAAACTGCGGCCGCCAGCGACTGAGCGTCTCGCTGGCGGACGGGGAGAGGAACACAAAGGGACGTCCGGACGTCCATCCACTGGGATGAGAATACTGGAGATCTGAGGTCGAATCTGCCGATTCCACAGCCGCCCACAGGAGCGCCGCCTCAACACGGGGTCTCGGCTCTATCGAGCCATGCTAGCTCCAGCCGCAGCCCCACCCGGCCGCCCGAGGGTGTTCCCGCAGGCAGAGAAGACCAATCCTGGGGGAAGTAACCGTCCGCCGCGCGAACCCCGCCCGCGGGGCACTCTTGACTCTTCCATAAGTGCTCCAAGTGCCGCTCCGCGTGCCAGGTGTGGACTCTCCTGTGCTCCTTCGACACCGGTGTCAGTTTCTTTAGAGTTTCTTAGTTTTCTCTCTTCATATGGCGTGCGTCCTCCCGCGCGGCGGGGCATCTCATCTTCCAAAGTTCCAAGCTGCCGCAAGCGCCTGTCCGAGCGAAGCCGGGAGCCTTTTTACGACGCCTCGCTGCCTGCGGCCGCCAGCGCGGCCTCCGCCTTTGCGACGGCCCACGTCTTGGACGCCTTTGTCTTTTCGAACTTTGCGAGCCAGTCGGGCACCGGCTGGTCGGCGGCGCGCGCGATCGCCACGAGCGCCGGCGCGCACTCCTTGTCATAGTCGGGGTTCCAAAAGGTGAGCGAGACGCCGCTCGCGCCTGCGCGGCCCGTGCGGCCGATGCGGTGGACATAGCTCTCGACGTCCCTCGCCATGTCGAAATTGACGACGTGAGTGACGCCGCGGATGTCGAGGCCACGCGCCGCCACGTCCGTCGCCGCCATCAGGGGCCGCCGCTCGGCGGTGAAGTCGGCGAGGGCCCGCTCGCGCTCCGCCTGCGGCTTGTCTCCCTGGGTGAGATGTGGCCGAGATCTTAGCCGAGATCTAGGAGAGAGAGAGATCGCCTGCGGCTTGTCTCCGTGGATGGCGCAGGTGCCAAACTCGGCAAACG